GAAAAAGAATGTGTAATAACGTTTCCGGTATGTTCCGTATACCTTTGATGTCGTTCGTTTTGGAAATTGAGAATACAAAACTTCAAAAAGAAAATCGCAAAGTATATTGAAAAGGTTTTGTTTTAAAATGTTTTTTATCTGATCAATTTCGTTTAATAAAATAAAATATTGAAAATAGTTTTTGAGACAAATATGTTGTCTAAATAGTTTATTTAAATGCATCAAATTTATGTTATATAACAATTAATTATAGTCAAAATTCAGTGTTATTAGTGTAGCTACAATTTGAAATATTGACTTTTTACTTATTAAAGCATAGTTACCACAAGTACCCAAAATTCGGTCATAAGTAGGGTTGCCAAAAAACAATTTCAATTTATGTTGCATTTAAAATTTATTTTCGTCACATATTTTAACGCGATAAATCAAAGTAACACATGCCCTATAAGCAGAATAACAACAATAAATATTATAAACTCTTATTGTTAGTTTATGAAAATAGAATACGGTACTTTAAGATATTTCAATTATATGTTAAGAATATTTATTTCTGTACTATGGCGACTTCTTTATTGAAGTAAGTTCTTTATTAAGTCTTTATTAACAGTTTTCACACCTTAGGTAGTGCGTTTAGTTAACCTGCATTCTCAAATCCCTTTAAATGAGTTTGTAGAAAAGACGTCAAATTTAAAAACATATATATTTTAGAAAGTAAAACATCATGAAATATTTAATTATCTATAAAACTAATTTTATTCATGTAGAGGAAACGAAACGTTTAGTGGATATTTTGGTATCAAACAAACAAATTGGGGTGAGTAACGCATTTTCTCCTCCTCTGCGTTGGAAAAAAGGCTTTACTTGGCTTGGGTTGGGTTGGGATCGCGGAAATCCCAACCCAACCCAAGCTAAGCGAACTCAAGTCAATCCAACCCAAGCAAGTCGATCTAGTTCTTGAGTCCCTTTGTTATATAACAAGAATCAAAGTCGTTACTGCTTTCTCTAACTTCTTCTACATTACATAAAACAGCTTTTTTGCTAATAATTGTCCGCGGTCTTCTCCACTATCCCGCAACATCAACGTTAACCTCACAACCTAATCCCTAACATCTCTCAATGCTCCCTCATCATCTTCGTCACAATTCCTCATACCTCTGATTATTTTACTATTATCTATTAACATCCTCTTTATAGCCCTAAACATCGTCTGTCATATGTTTTGGTATCGTCCCTGATATCCTGAAAAATCAGTCTGATCTTCTTCAACACTGACTGTTCTACTAAATCGGTGCATCATAATCCATGGAATTTTGCAACATTGCTGTCGATGTAGATTATCGTAAAAATCCTGTCCTACATTGTCATATCAGACCCGATTATAATGATGTCTCTCAACATCATTGCTGATGTTACTCTGAAATCATCGATGGTCCTCTTCTACCTTATGTTTGACATACCCCAACAGATCCTAATAAGACTTTTGTCAAAGCTTTCCTAATCACCTATTAATGTCACCCTCTGACAGCTCTAAACATCATCCCCGATAACTTTGAACATAGTTCCTGACATTATTCAACGCTTTTTTGGCCGCCATCAAGTTTTTTTGCATCCTCTGTTAAAATTAGACTTGTTAAGCCATCATCATGTCTAGTACTTTCTAACAACGTCACTATCTTCCACAATATCTTTTATCTTCATAAAATCTCTCAACATCGTTCCTGATATCATCCCCGATTTCCTGCAACATCGCCCTTGATTGCTCGAAAATTACTCAAATTCATTTAAGACATCAAAAATCGCTATCTCAATGTAATCATTTTTCACGTCTTCAATAAATTTCGTCTTCGATATTCCTAAACATCGGATCTAATATTTCCCAGCACCCCAAAATTGTTCTCAACATCATCTATGACATGCCTTTATATTACACTACTCCATATCCCTGATACGTATCAATATCATCCGTGATATATTTCAATTTCCTCCCTAATATCCTGAAGTATGGCATCTGCTCCAATATTTGCCTTGATATAACTAAATTAAAATAAAATACACGGCCTCAGAGAGATGTTTTGTATGCTATTACTTATAGGACTTACAACTTATTGATTGTGTCATCTTTGACCGAAATGTGTTCTGTTGAATTTTTTGTTTACTGTAAGTAATTTATGGAGTCTATTTTATTAGAATCCGAACTTAAATTTTTTTGATAGAATCGCTTATTTTGCTTAAGTCTATTTTTCATAATTGATTTCTTACGATATATATCAACCAATCCTTTAGCTAATAAATTAATCTCTTTATAAACCATTCTTTAGTTTTTATTACTAAATCTTCTCCACATTTAACAGTTGATCGTAAATTTTTATGATTAATTGTTTCAAAAATTTCAAACTTTGCTTCATGAGTATGAATAACTTTATCCCAACATTCTTATGATTTATGAATAGAGAACTTTATAAATTCCAACCTCTTATTGTGTTAATGTCATTGGCGCACCAGATTTTCGAAACAGCTCTATGCGGAAGATTTCATGAATAGACCAAGTACGTCGCGGGTTTAGATATTGTTTGTTCTTAAGATTAATGAGTTCTAATAAATTATTATGATAATATGTATTTATTGTTGACTTTTGATTAATAATTGCAAAATTATTAACATATCAGGATTTGCATGCTACTCGTTACGGTGATAACCTTAATGTCCACTTTCAAATTTGGAAATATTTTAATGAATTGACTAATTAGGTTCTTAATTTCAATCTTTAATGATTCAAATAAAAAAAAATACTTAAAAATAACAAATTTAAGTTCGACAAACAGTTAGTTGAAAACTAAAATGCTAGATTTCTGCAACGTAGGTTTAAAAGTTAATTTGATTGAATGCACTATTATTTTATCTGTAATAAATTATTGTGTACAATTTTGACGCGTTAATTTTGATTACAAATCATCACGAAATGAAAATTAAATCAAAAGAAATGTAGGTAACGTGATTGTAAGGTGCAACCGTTGCGCACTATTGAATTTACGAGGATTGCCAGTAAAGAGAAGCGTGCGCTTGATTTTAAAATAGCAAGAACGTTCGTGATTGAAGCCGTCCAATTGTCGGCGACCGATTACCGCGATTCGTGATTATTTTGCCCACTATAACGTGTACCTGCCCGATTTCCTAATGATCCTTCAGTAGAAAGAACCGTGGGCACCCCTTTTACAACCGCTACGTTGCGAACTACCACATTTTCATTTCCTTTGATTAGCAGCAATTTTCGAATTAGTTTCGCCTCTGTTAAACGTCGATCCGCTTGCTACCACCCTCTCTCGGACGTTTGCTCGAAACAACACGGTTCTTGGTCTTTTGCGGTACTTGTTGCAATATGTTATCGTTAGAGAACCACTATTCTCTATTAATCCAATTGCCATAATTTCCAGTAATGCGTTTCACGAGACATGAAATGGGAACGTAAACACGAACTTATTGTTTGCGTTAACTTTGGATAATCTGACTAATGCCTTGATTAGCAGTTTCCATTCGCAAATTTATATCAGATTAATTGGCTCTAAAATTTGATACAAATTCGGATTGTAAGTTAAAATTTATAAATATAATTCGCAGTATCATATGAAATAAGTTAAAATTTAAAAAAGTCACTCGTGTTTTATTTGTAGAATGATTTATGATTTAGTTTATAGCCAAAAGAACCCATTAAGATGGGACATTAAAAGTAAGAGGATTTAATAATAACAATTTTGAGAAAGAAGAGAAACGAAGCCGAAAGCAGAACTGAAAGCAGTTTTGATAATGATCACTCCTGTATAACGTAATGCAGATAATTTTTTGTTATTAATTGATGAAAACTCTGGCTTGTTAGCATTTACCGTTGAGGAATGGTTCTGTATTTGCATTTGTTTTTTAATGCATTATATCAATAATACAAAACGAATCGTAACATGTCTTTTTCGACATTACCTCGTATCGTGTCTGTGGCCCATAACCTGTTGGGTGTTAGTGGATCACGAGTAATATCGCGTACACTCGAAAACTGATCCAAATGTTTGCGAATTAACTCGACAAGTACGAAAGCTACATTCAAAAATTATTGATTCATTTAGTAGCAGGTAGATTATTCATAATATCACTCGCTTTCTGAAACTACTTTATGTCTATATATCTTTTCATCGCATCTGTGTGCAGATGTATCCACTCATTATCCTCTTTAACATAGTCACCTTTCATTCCTTATTTTCTTAGTTAACTTTTTTGCTCTGCATTGAACCCATTTCGTTTTTCGTTTACTAACTACGAATACTATAAGTATATTCGCAAGTGCCCTATAGACCTTTCCCACTCTTTCATTTGCCTTCGTTTCGGTAGTTATAACCCTATTGATTGGAACAAAACCAAGGCCTTTGTTCTCTTGCTACTTGCATAACCACAGCAGACCGTATCGATCACTTAAATGACTTTAGAAAATGTTTAATTCTTAATCTCAGAGGTGCAGAACGTAAATAATTTTGGTGCAATTATTTAGCTTACAAGATTTTAATTTTTTCCATTATAAAACTCGACTGTGTAGTAAATCATGCTTCGATCCTACGCAATAATGCAATAATCGTTACTGAAAAAAAGAAAAATCAATTAAAAATCCAACTTGCGGTAATTTTTCATCATCTTAGATTATTAATTAATTAATAACCACCCTGTTCGTGATCAAACATAACAACCCCCTCTAATGTCATCCTTTCAAATAACGTGTATCTTATCGATAACTACCATTTCTCGACCCAATTCTTTTGTCTTGCTCGTTTTGCGTCAATGAGGGGACATTAATACCTTTATGGTTGTCAAGTCGGTCGATATATTCGGTTATCTAATTATGTTTAATGCCGACCGTTTCGAATTGAACGACATAAGAACCAATATAAACCGGACGATCAATTAAGGTGATAAACTTTTAATGGATTATCTAACTAATTTTGGCGTATCTCTTTTTGTTACAGTGTGCGGGGATATACATGGTCAATTTTATGACCTTATGAAATTATTCGAAGTAGGTGGACCACCAGCTAGTACAAAATACCTTTTTCTTGGCGATTACGTCGACCGAGGATATTTTAGTATAGAGGTGAGTAAATTTAATAACGAAGATTTCGTGTCAAGTTCAATAACTCTATTTTTATTACAGTGTGTATTGTACCTGTGGGCCCTGAAAATGTGCTATCCAACAACGTTGTTCCTTCTACGTGGCAACCACGAGTGTCGACATCTCACAGAATATTTCACATTTAAGCAGGAATGTAAGTAGATTTGATGAGAACAATTAGTGTAACGAATGTCGGACAGGATGTTAATACAGTGTACCAATCGAACCGGACCCAATACTATGTTGATTGAATAGCGCATCGCACGATAACCAACTAATTAAGCCGATTACCTTCATAGCTTCAAATACGAGATGTCTCTATATATATTAATATAATGTAATCGATTGAGCAAATTCGCGAAGTAAACGCCAACGTTCAAAGTTTACTCAAGTTTGTAGAATAATCATATCACGTATCAAATCAAAATAGTTCCAATAGGAACGACGAATATTATCTATGGTCGAATTCTGTTTAATTAGTCCGATTTCGGTTCAGTTCTGTTTACTAAATCGTTCAATTAAAAATATGAATTTCGTTATCCCCTCGAAACGACAGAAACCACGCCGAGCGCTTCGAATTCAAATAATGTTCGTGATATTTGTGATTTTAATCTAATTAATTATGCTATTCAAGAACTATTGCAGATATTCACGTTCTACTGCAGTGCTATAAATTTAATATTCAATTAGACCCACCTATTTTAAATTTTAAATAAAATCATTATTAAACGGAATCGAAAATTATAAAAGATAACTATAAAAAGATTCGAGTGTTCATTCAAACTATGGGAACCAGTATAAGTTTATTGGCAAGAATATCTTAAATGGGCGTTTCATACGCGTCATATAAACGTAAGTAGAGTGATTTAGAGAATTGCAACTGTTAGCGTACTATAATTTTGTTCGCATATCTACTTATTTGTGATCAGAGTGTTTGTTCCATCCGAAACGGCAATTACGATAAATTTATTTGCATGTGCAAATTATTTTTGGTGCCGTATTTAAAGTGACTCACTTAAGTGTAGTTAAGAAAATTTGAATGCTTAAAAATAATTTAATGGACGACAAATTTAATCAAATTCGAAATGAAACACTATTGTTCCACATTTCTGAATAGTCAATGAATATAATTAAGAACTTTCTTGAAGAGGAACACGTGCGGAAAATTCGTCGACAGCGACACGAACAATTACAGTTTGGGAAAGTGTGCAATTAGAATTCTGCTGTCTTAAAGTTTAGAGAAGTTAGGCGTTGTGAGTTTAATAAGCGTAATAGTAATGAAAAAGAATGAATTTAAATTTAATCCAAATGTTATTAGTTTAATGTAAACAGGTGTAAACGCAAATAAAAAGAAAATGACTTCGACTCAATTAAATGTATTTTATAAATAATCGTACTGGTTAACATTATAAATAAAGATAAAGTTCAACATCCTGCCTTCAAAGCCACGAAACCATTGTTGTATCTGTTTAAAATAATAAACGCATTTTTTTAATATCATTCGGTCAGGAACTATAAAAATTAGTAAACCACATGAAAACAGTTTTGTGGCGTACAATTCTGACCTTGCTGGAAATTGTCGATTTTGTTGGCAACTATTTGCGATTTTACACGTTACAGTTTATACACGGCAATGTTTCTAGAACAAAACGTACGTTTCTCCAATATTCTTTATTTTATTGTTGTTTTATGACAACCAGCTGAAACGAATAAGAAAAACGGCAACAACGATTCTTTCATTTATCGGACATAAATTGCGTTTCTTAAACATTTTTTTTTTACTGAAATGTTTACGTTTAGTATCGTTTACTATTTAGGTGATGTGTTTTATGGGTCACTAACCGCCTGAGATGTATTTTGACAAGTTAACACCGTCAAAACATATGCGTAAAAAAACTAGGACGCAGGATAACGGTGACCCGGAATGATTAATGTATTGCAAACATAAATCACAGGATTATGTGTAAATGTCGACCCGTGAGCTCATACGACCTCTGTTACTCAGTGATGCACGTTACTTGACAGTATTATTATTTATTACGTTTGTTGTAAATCGTATCTACTTTCGAGAATCACTCACTTCGTTTTTCTTTTAGTTTGTACTTCAATTATCACAATTACTTTCTACTTTAAGATTTAATTGAACAGTAAATATCAATTACTTTTTATTATTTTATAATATTTTTTTTCGGATCGATCGTTTATACACACTTTCTTTATCCTTTACGGACGGATTTGATTTGATGAATACAAATTGGGCGATGTCAAAAGGAACGCGTGGGTGTATTTAATAAACCAACGAGCCACGTCAGCAGAATGTTTTTCATAGCGACGAATGCAAATAATAGTTGTCATCGATGAAATGAATGTAATTTATGAATCGATTTCAGATTTGAATTTTCTGTTAACCAAATTAATGATGTGCTAATATAGGAAAAACTAATCCATTTATGCCGGATTGTATTTGTAGTATGTACTGGATGTTTTAAATAACACTGGACAGTGATATATTATTTTCGATGGAAATAGATAGGACGAAATTTTTAAATTGTTTCTAAAACTATTTCGTAGTACAAGTAAGAGTGAGTCTCACACCAATTTGAATGAATTTGCTACACTGTATTAAGATATATATTTTCTGACATATTTAGTTATGATTTGAATCAATTTTGTTATATTTTGCAATTAATGAATATGATTTAGCACATCCACTGTTATAATGTTATAGAAGCCTCTTAGATCTGGAATAAAAGATTGCGAGGATTTGAAAATTTGCTGAAAAGGTGTTCAAGAGATATGATATATGTTGTTTGTTCGTGCCTTCATGGTGGAAGTTGTGTCTGTGATGGTTATGCAAATATTTGAGATGGCAACCTGCAAATGATAAACGGCATGGAAATAAACTTGTCTCTTTCTTCTCCTGGTGTGTTTGAAATCACTGCATCTTCTTCACTAACACTCTTTCTTGAATCGATCCAGATTTCTGCTTTTCTCTCATGTAGACTACTATGACGGAGAGTCTATGTAATATCAGTTAGGTTATAAATTTGATACTGTTCTTGTAGTAAGATATAATGTAGCAAAATAGGGATGATGGTTTCTGCGTGTGCTGTTATTACAAAAGTTTTATTTCTTTTTATGTAATGTACGTGGAATAGCCAAAGTGTATAAGTTATACGTGAGATTTAGGCTTTATCGACTCCCTTGTGAGAGTTTCCATGTTAGGATTTATCTGGATCCTTTCGTCATTTTGCAAGGGGTCACGTACTGAATTGCTCAACAGATTTGACGCAATTCCACGACTATTCCAGTGAATGTATAGGTCAAGTTAGAGGTTTAGCCCTGCACTTGCGTGATAATGAAAACCAGAATTGTGCGACTGGTTACGGGGATCAATGGGTTAACGTCCACTTTAAAGGATGAAAGTGTTGTTATTAGCTGAAGAGGTAACATGCAATCACAAGAACACTCGGTTAGTAGATAGGGGTGCTCCAATAGGTATCGCAGTGTTTATCCTCAATGGTCCATGATGTATTTGTGTATCAGCAGAATAAACACAGGATAGATAATACTTTGTTTCACGTAAAAAGTAATTAAACGGTTGAATGCAAATGCAAAGTCATTAATGTGATTCGATTACTACTATGATAACAGCTTTGTCTTTATTCGGTTATATAACCACTAGTCCTCGCTCTTGTTTCATTTTAAAGGTTTAAAATGATATACTGACTACGATGAAAATACACGTTTTGACTTTGGCAATAGAATAAACAAGTTAGGTATTTTTGAAAATACACTTATTTTACTTTTAAGTTGTTTTATAAGAACTAAAAATGAATTTAATTATCTTGTGATATAATCCTAGATATACAGATAAATGCTTTGTCTGCTTATTTATGTAGAGTTATCGCCCTAGGCATTGTTATAGTGATCTCCACATGTTCCTTAATTAACATATACCTTATTATTATGAGGATCCTAGAACAAGGAAGTAATTACAGTTAACATGCTGAATACCATATGTATTATTATAGCCGTTATGATAGAGACTTTTCGTAATTGAAATGATTCGTGATTCCATAACTCCTCTCAGTACGATAGATGTTATTCAAATCGTGTCTCATAAATTACTAAAAGACATTACTAGAACAATAGTTCTGCAATATATTCCCGTACGGCGTTCCAAATGGCACAATATAGCACGTGAGCATCGCGCTTTTTAGGTTAGTTGTACGTAAGTTAAAACATATTTTCTTCGCCATTCGCATTAATCTCTTGGAATTATTTAGGTCGTGGTTCTATTCGAAATATTTCCCATTGTTGGAAGAGTTCCAGTGGAACGGTGTCACGTTTAACTACAGTGTGTGCACTTTATGATTCCTGTTTATCGTTAGATTATGTAAAAGTGTTTGTTAACCGTGTTCACGCCATAATTTTTGGCTCATTTGATAAATTTATATTCATAAGAATCTTTCTCTATCTCCTGCCACATTTTTTATAGAACGTATCACTGTTTTTGTATGCATTTTCTCGATTTTTGCGAATGCACGCTTTTCAGGGTATAGTCTGAATTTGCTTATGTCGCGTGATCGATCCTGTTTTAGAATATTTCGTATTCCGACGAGTCGGGGAGTATCGAAATTTCTAGCACGCCCGCATTTTTATCGATAAGCATTTCGAGAAGCAACCATACTTTGAGTCCTCATAAATTTTTCATTCGATCCCGTGGTTGTCACATCCGCTTCGGCTTATGTTTCAACTTCTGTTTCTTATTTCAGGTAAAATAAAATATTCAGAACGAGTATACGATGCGTGTATGGACGCTTTCGACTGCCTACCGCTGGCCGCCCTCATGAATCAACAGTTCCTGTGCGTGCATGGGGGACTATCACCAGAAATACACAATTTAGACGACATACGGAAGGTAAGAAGCATAACATATTCAGCTTTTTTATATATTTAGAATTGGAATTAGAAAATATTTGATATATAGGTGCTTTGTAGCTTTTTTTAAAATTTCATTCCACCCAGAGTAATTTTATATTCATGCAATCTCTGGGTTCATGGCAAATTTCATGGCGAATTCACATCCGGCGGAGTGCAATTCCATTAACTAACATACTTGAACATAACAAATAGCAAACTCAGTTCCTAGAACTTCGCGATAAAACCGGGAGTTGAAGCTTGTTGTCTTTAATGTGATTATTGAACGAATTTGATCGTGATTGCTAATCTTAAAAGTGAGTTTCAATTTTGGTGGATGCGCCGCTTTTGGATTTCATTTTTATTAAGGTAGTAAAGCTAAATTGTTTGTTTGAATAATTTTATAAAAAAAAGTAATTTATAATCCTATGTAGCCAGAATGTAATGTGGGTATTAAAACGGAAGTAGTGCAATAAAATTCGAATTATTTTACGCCATGTAGAGACAATGTTATTGTGAGTAACCGAAATATGTATATTTGGTTTATTTTGTTGCGAAATATATTTTTCGTTTTATTTCAATGAAAACATCAATTCAATTATAAATCAAATTCATGGAAGCTGCTGTAACAATAATATCGCAATAATAAAAGTTTTATTATATTTAAATCTTTGAATTTCAAATAACGCAGCGAACTAACAAACGTTAATTATCTAAGTATTAAGGTCACGTTGGTCGTTATGTTGACTGGTGAAAATTTGTAGTCTGACGATTTTTCCAAGGATAGTGAGCTTGTCCTAGTTATCGTATCGATCAAATTGGGTACTAAGTTTAAACGGAAAGTTTAACGTGATTTTCCTTGAAATAATTTTTCTAAATATTTTCTTTATGAGCGAAATATATTCTCACTCCGTGCGAAAAATAATCGGCAATAAGCCTTCAACCGTTCAATGAACAATTCGTTTTCCCATTTGCCAACGTCATTACTCGCAAACCATAAAACACCAGTTTCGAAGAAATGGACGGTTATAAAACTAGCTCACATTATTGGTTTGAAATTTTTATGGTTCTCTAAACGTTATACTGCTGTCTAAAGCGTTCGCACAACTCAGGTAACAATAAGAATAGCAAGATTTATTACGGAACGTGAAGAAAAATAATTACGAAGCGAAATCATTAAAAACATAATAGGATTAAACAATGTAACACCTGTTTTTCATTTCCAAAATAGATTACTACAGCATTAAATATTAAATTACAAAAACTAGGTGTATAATCGAAAAATACAGGAAAAATAGAGCTTTCGTTGCAAAGCATTAGCCCGGGATGTTATAATAGGATAGGTGAGCGTTCGTGCGAGGTGCTGTCTCTATAAATTTTAAACAAACGCGACCGAGGTTCCTGCAGCTCCATAGCTCTAATACTAATAAGGGCATGAACTTTTTAGTAGCGCAATATAATTTCGTGGTTGTCGTGCCAAAATTTCTACCCGGCATCTGTCGACTAGCTTCGCTCCCCTAGTTTGGGGATAAAACTCGTTTGCATTTTGATAGAAACCGCGAATTAATGACGACAACGCCGTTGTGTTCATAAGTCTCTTTGTGCTTTCAATGAACTAGGCACGTTTATCTGCTTCCACCAACTACTAACAACAGTCAGGTAAAACGTTGTTTAACTTGGAAAATAACTTTCACAAAACTATTTATCTACCCAAACATAGTTTCGGGTTTAGTCGTGCGTCTCTTAAGACAGATAATGACCCGAATGTTTCTAGTTTTAGTTCAATCAAAAAAATTAAATAATCTAACGCTGAATAACAACTAAAACTAGAAATAACTCTAGCATTAGAACTAACACTAGATCTAGAACTTAGAAACTTATACTACTTAGAATACAATAGATATAGGGATTTTAAGACCTCTGTTTAATCTAGAACATCATAAACCATCCAGAATTAATCAAAACATAAAGGATTATCGAGTTAGTCCAAATTATGCATATACAAAGTTGTGTAGATGAGTATCAGTTAATAATGTATTTGTCCCGGTTAGATCAAATAATCTTTCAACTATATCTAAATCTTAATTGGAAACAAACTTGTTAAAACATAAAGGTAGCAGTGCTGCAGTGTTGTTGATGTGTGCACTGTAGCGTACATCGCTTCATTACCTATCTAATAATTATAACACAAACTCATCATAACTTAAGTTATCTTTGTGGTTGTGTCTAATATGAATATGGAGGTGAAATTTCTCAACAGGTAGAATTTCATCTAAATCAATAGAGTTTGGGTTGAATACGAACGAACTCTTCATGTATACGTCCATATACGCTTGAACATGTTTTGGTCGGCGAACTGAAAGTGTTTCAGGTGGAAAGGCTTCAACTAATCCTCATTTGAAACTCTTGGAAGTTGAAAGTTTCAAGCTCGTGCATTATTTAATATCAACCGATTTACTGCAGACCGTGTACTCTCATGGACAAACTTCTTCACTTGTCACTATACTACACAGTCTATAAACTATAAAGTTTCGTTTAAGTTAACACCCTTGAAATATATCGAGAAGAACTTTGAGGAATCCTTCAGATATCGTTTCTCGCTGCTTCTGCTTAGTTAATATTAAGGTAGATGATATTTTTTGAGATTTTAAATGAAGATTGGAAAGTTATTGGAAACCCAATTATATATTAATCAAGTTATTTGTCTTTGTGTACGAACCAGGACTGGCTGATGTAATTAAATTTTGCGCTCAGAAACTGGGTGCAGCTTCCGTAACATCACAATTATGAAACATTGTTTTCGTGCACTACCATTTTTAGCGCTCCATGAGTTACTGCAGGGGTCAGAGTGGGAAGTTTTGTTCTTCTTTACAACCTCTTCTAGAGGCTTTTAGGATACCTTTACCCAAGCGGAACTTCTCTCCTCGCCTTTTAAGCATTAATTATTCATATTTACCATAATGCCTCGAAGGACCTCCGCCGTGAAGAAAACTCGACGTCTCTCTGTGTTCCTTGAATTATTCAAGGATCGTTGGTTTTTATTTACCCAGAGGCGTGACGGTTGGAATCTTATTTTAAATTATTTAGACTTAAGTCGTTTCCGTACATAATAGAGGAGAAAAAGAACTTTGAAATGTCGGTCATACTTTGAAAGCTTAAACGGCAATAACATTTTTACGTTATTTCACACGAAAAGTAAATTTTGTCTCGGTGAAAATGTTGCATGTTTCAGGAGCGTTGTTTCAAGATTTTTTAGGCCTAGATATCTGCGGTTAGTATTTTCTTAATTGGATTAAAGTATGTAATCATATTACGTGCTATGAATCTGGGTCATGGAAATTTAACGCTTATATCTGTTACCGGTTTTGTTGAACCAATGGATTATTGTTATAGATTTTTAAGGAGGAAATGGAACCCCCACTAATGGGATTTGTTAGGTTTCCCCGTCTTTTGTGTTACACTTCAATGGCTAAGAAAATCCGCTGCCCTATTTTCTTATTTTCATCGCTTTTATTAAAATATTTCGCATAAAACAAGCAAAATATATTAAAATTAAAAATAATGTTGTAGAGTAATAAGTAATAATATATTATTATAAGTATATAATAATATTCCATTACCGTTTATAGTGATAGAGACAAATTTATTGATTTATCACTAAAATTTGAAGTTGTACATTTTATAAATTTAGGTCAGAATTGACTAGATCACGCAATAACCTTAATAGTTTAGGTTGCATTACAGTTTTATGATTAATTTATGATATATTGAAACATTAAATAATTTATGACTGCATGTAAATATTGAATTTCAATAAGATTATTAATTATAAGCTTGCAATTTTCTAAACTATACAAATTTATTATTTTCGAGATGCATTTAGAGATTTTAACGCATTTAGGCAACGCTCTAAGTTTTCACAATTATACGGCCTCGGTGTCTTTTGTTAATGAGAAAGTGCGCGTTGGAGGCGTTAACAGGGTAATGAAGCACTAGACTAAAACTATACGATTCAAGAACAAGCACGATGAGGATGAGAGCTTAAGGTAAAGTTTTCGCGATGCTGTTCCTGATTTATCTGGTCGATTTTGAATGCCTTCTCTAATTATTCGCATAGAAGTTACGCCCAAGGCAATAAACTAGAAAGGCCAACCCTTTGTCACGGGCGCGCACCAGCAACTTCAAAGATTAATTGCCGACGGCAGTGGCGTCGCGACTCCCGCCGTCACAGGATAGTCTGAGTGCCGCCAGCCGATATGGCTAATTGGTATGCATAAAATTCACATTAGCGATGAATTACGGTTATTGAGAATGTCTTTATAAGATTAACTGCAAACACATACAACATTAACTCACAATCAGTACTGTTTATTTTATACAATTATAAAGTCTTGTTATTTGTTCTTTCTTGAATGGCTTTATGTGTCGATGTCAAAGTGTAACCCAAAAGTAAAAATTAATTTTTCGTGAAAGATTCTGATTAATTTGAAATTTACAATAATAAAGAGCAATGATTTGGAACCGGTGTTAAATTTAGTTGAGCTTATAAGTTATTATGATGCCATGTGAAAAATTGCAATGTTTTTCATGATGGATTACAAATTATGGAAGGCAACAAATTAATTTAATTTTATTGCATCCAAACGTCTCGGGCAACAATGTGAGTGATGAATTTATAAAATTGTGATGTTAAGTTTGCTTAATTAACCGTCAAACGGTAATGAAAAGTTTGATGAAAATATTTTGAACGTTTTGTTTCAATAACAAAAAGTTTAGACGATGAAACATCGCTTTTCCTTGAAAATTAAATGAATCATGTCTATTAAATTATATTTTCCACATTTTCCTTCGTGAATGTCAGCTTTGATCAGCTTCAATAATTTATCTGCTCCTTTCATCCTTGTCTTGTCGTGAAGTTACTTTAAACCTTAGATTTGGCAATGGTGAAGTTCATATTTTGCAAGAACTTCAAGAAGTCTTAACTTATTTTGATTAGCATGTGATCGTTATCTTGTATGTAAAGTTGTCTTATTTTGTTGATCTTTGCAAGCTGCAAGAAGGAATATATTAGTAGAGTGGGTACCTTGAATAATTTTTTTATACTTGCTGGCGATATTTTGCAAACTACTTCCAGTAATATTCAATTTTCGTAATTGTTAGGAAGAATTTTAATCTACCCAACCCTAAAAACACTCTATCTATATAATGGAGTAACTTCATAAAAAAGCGGACCTGCTTTTAAGGTTGGGAGCTATGTTGAACACCACATCAGCTTAAATGGTTTTGTATTTCAAGCAGTTCAAGTACTTCTGCATTCTCATGTCGATGAAGCCATTCTTCATGCTTCTTTAAGTACCTTTGATTTCTTCTTTGACCGTTGGGATCTTACTTTGACTGTACAAGATATACAGTCCAAAGACACTTCGCTAAGGTACTCCTTCTTGTACTCTCTTTAAATCTAAATATGTACTTTAAAAAGTCTTTTGGTTACATACGATGCGACGTAAAGATTTCTACATATTGTTTATTCAAGATTTTGTTTAACTTATAAATTAGACCTTCGTACTAAGAACTGTGCTGCCAAATTTGCTTTTCTTCGAGTGCCTCTCTTTATGACCTCTATAAGATGATGTATTGGGTCGATCGTTGAATACTTCTGTCTAAAGCCAAACTCACTATCCTAGGAAACCAATAATTTCTGCAACCTTCTGGCTTGCGAATATGTATTTTAATCTAATATCTGCTTTGAATAAGTATATCAACATGACTATACCTTTTTTATTTGGGTTAGATTGGGTTCGATTTGAGTTATCGATTGTATCGTGTCACCAAACTAGCTTGCTAGGACTCCTCATATTGTTTCGTTTCTTTCCTCCTCGTATAGTTTTTTTTTTATTTTTAACGCCACCAAACTCCTCCTTCCAAAATTCAACCTGTTCAGAAATAAACTTGAATTTAACATCACCGTGTCTAACTTTAGCGTATTTTGAGCTGGATTTACAGTACGTTAAAATTTAGTGAAATCTAATATCACAATATTAAATCATCGTCTTTTAAAAAAATTTGGATTAAAATTTTACACTTACTTAAAAATGTTTTTAACATTTTATATTTGTATACATAAACATATTTCTTGCGGTAATCTCAACAATCACCTCCCATAACATTTCGGCGGTATCCTGTTGAAATTTTGTTTATTCAATAAACATCGTGTTATGTAGGTTATTCATCAAATAGGAAGATGTTGATTTTTGTTTTATTTAAAACCGCCTCAAATCATCTTTTACGTAATTATAATATATTAATATATTAAGACGTTAAATTATTGACATTTTCTACACGTATATGTTGAATATCACAAAATAAGTAAAAAAAGAGGTTAAAGCCACAGTATACGGATTCTGGAAAATATTGATTTCGCGTTGTACCTCTGAGACATGTTCCTATATAGTTTCCCCCGTTTCATTCACCACTGGTCATCCTTTTGTGGCTCTCGGCTATTTCCTCAATCTCCTCAGAATGTGATAGGATGGATCCTCAACGGTTTAACGTTGTTCTAGAAATTTCAGTGGCGAGAGATGTCGTTTACACAAGCTCTCATAAATCGTCTCGCTTGGCTGCTTTGATTCCATAACTATTCTATTTTCGCTTACTTTTTCTAAGAAAATCTCGTCTCTTCAATTTTATCGGGCTACATAAAGTTTGCACAAAGATGTTATTTTTCGCCTTCGCATCGGTCAAGTTTTCCCTCCCGGTTGTTAACGTTTACTCATCCTCGGGTTGATCCAAGTCGTTTAATGAAACTTCACAACCCTTTTCCTTTTAGGAGATCCTTGATAAAAATAAATAACGTTGCTCTTTTTTTTAATATATTTTCGCTTTTACGAAAATTAAGCTTTTACATCAAAATATTATTGAATCTAACAATTCTTTATGCATTTTGAAGTCTATATTTCATTGCGTAACTTCTAGCAATCCCAGAATGTATTTACAGAACGGAATTCGTTCTACAAAGGTCTACCGCGTAAGTAAATAGATCCAACTACTAGGTTCAACTTAAATTGATTTAGCTATGGGCTATGCGGCTACTCTCGGATTCGTTGAATGGTATAATTCGTTTCTTTAAGGAGTTGGGTTTGCTTTCTATAATCGATATGGATGTTTGCCTATATTATTTCTCGTTATTATTAAAACAATACATTTTAGTTTAGCCTCGAAAGATTTTAATACATTTTTATAACATTTAATTTGATAACGTTTAACTGGAAATGCCAAACGCATGATGCATTTGTATTGCGTGTTTAAAACAACGCCGTCGGATCTCATGTTATGATAATATACACGAAGGTGTTTGCTCCGTTATTGATTGTGCGTATTGCGGATATTTCGTCCTTTGCATTATATATTTTAAGTTTTGAAATTCAAACTTGTCGTAAGCGTCGATATTTTTATTCCCGCAAAACTGTAATTGCTAACTTTCGACGGCTTTTCCTAACTTGCCTAAACTACTTACTGTTCCCTTTACTTTTAAAGTTGCAATGTGCATCCGATCTTCAGAAACTTGTACGACTCCGTTGAGGTTTAACGTGAAAATTTAACGACACAGAGACACCAAGTTTTTGAACTAAATCTGTGTCGCAATATTGATCAGTGCAAATGCGTTCTGGATGTTAATACCCGTTTCAAGTGTTATATTGTTAATATAAAGTATAAAGCATGGTAGAGATTTCACGGTCAGTCTACTGTATGTAATTATGTGTGAATTAACACAATTCCTTGTATAATTTGCTGGAAAATAACCATTTGTGATTTCTCATACGGAATGGTAAACTCATAATGCATTTAAATTGTTTATTAATCATTTTAAAATTATAATATAAAGTGTGATTATTGATTTTATTTACAGCTAGATCGGTTTAAAGAACCTCCGGCTTTTGGTCCTATGTGTGATCTATTATGGTCAGATCCTTTAGAAGACTTTGGTAGTGAAAATAACGCAGAACATTTTTCACACAACTCCGTAAGAGGCTGCTCATATTTTTACAGGTTAGTAAAAATTGGACGTTCTTTGTGTAACTAATTAATTAAATTTACTAAATATGTTTCTAAAATTATTCTCTTCAAGAGTGTAATATATATTAAGTGATAAGTTAGAGTGGTTATGCTATATCACCTGTAGAACATTGGTTTAATTCATTCTTCCCTGTTCTTTCAAGTGACAGCCGACCAACACGGTTCGTGATTAATGAACCAGACAACGCGCGTTCGTTGTTCTACTATACGGTTGGCATTTTACTAAATCGATACTTTGTTTTCAGCTACGCTGCCTGTTGCGACTTCCTACAGAATAATAATCTCCTATCAATTATTAGAGCACATGAAGCACAAGACGCAGGGTGAGTTTTAAAAAATTTTAATAGAAAATAACACTTTTCTAAAATTCCCGGTGGACTTTTAGCATAATGAACTCCTCGACTTAAAACCGACTGCCGATTTTCACAAAAACGGTGTTTACACTTTACCGCTTTTCTTTGTTTACAGTTATTTTTTTGTCGCCTACTAATGGATTATATAATTTTAAGAAAACCATTTTAATCCAAAAAATCTATTTTTTATCCTAACAGGTATTAATTATTTACTTCTATTGATTTTTCGTCGAATTTGTTTAAAAGCGTATAATGTCACAACACAAATAATAGCTGTAAATTATTATAATGTAGTCTATTTTCATTAACAGCGTTCATTATTAATAAAGTAATTTGCGTTCTATCCTTTTTTACAATTTTATCACGGGAAATTAATTAATTAAAAATGAATTGATATCGAACACAAACGTAAATAAAACATCCTATAAACTGCAATTATTATTCATTTATTTTTGGATTTAAAATTTAACACCTCCGTTTTCATTGCTAATTGAATTTTCTTATCTGTTTAATTAAAGTTTGGTTCTTGTTCGCTTCGTAATCGTATTGTTTTCGACTACTACACGAACCACACGCCTAATTTACTGCATCGCATTAGCATCATAAATAAAGACACAATACCAGATTATGGTACAAAAGGTGAGAGAGTATAATTATTGTGAATCCCTCTCAAACACGCCACTGTATTGTATCTCAACATAATGAATCAGATTAAAGTCGAACCATATCGTACTTTATTTATCTCTCATCACGCATTTATGTTTGTTGCGTGTACGCCACGGCGCTATCGTTAAAATTCAACTACGATTTCATCACGATTTTAACGTGGTTTTACCATAATTTGCTCACGTGAGCACCGTATAACACCACCGAAAAAATATCGAGGGAGCCGTTTTATCTCGTCGAAGCCACATAAAATCTTTTAGTTTACGAGTTGAATTGTGTACCAACCCATTGTTTAGTAACCATTCTATTCAACACTTTATGTTCTCTCTTTTCTAGACTGACGATTCACACAAATTTCTTATTTAGACTAGGATCTTTATTATTCTTAACACATTATCTATCTTTGGGTGATTGTAAACTACATTTATTTCATTTTATTTCTTTATAAGGAAGTAGATTAGAGCGTATTAAGGAAATTGTGTTATATCGATAAATAATAGGAAATGCAATGGATGGAAGCTACGAATGGATTTTGTAATCTTTAAATAAATAATTTGTTGTGGTCGCAATAATTTTCATATTATTTATTGTATATATTTTATTATGAATTGTTCTATAATACTTATCGTCATTTATTAGAAACTTCTGATGAAAATTATTGAGGTTGAGGGCACTATTTGAGATATACCGTTTTCGATTGGGACCACCATTATCATCTAGAGTAGTCGTCATATTTGTCAATACGTTATCTTTATAGTGACCGCGATCACCATGTTTGTGCCAATTCTTCTTCTCTTAGTACAAACAGTCCTCTTTGCAAGTATTTTTAATCTGGTTTTCTGGCCTTTTGGCAAAAACTTCTGACAATATTGATGTTTTGTCTTCTTTTTTCTGTTATATATTTGTCTTTGTGTAGAAATTTCTGTCAGAGTTCTTTATTAGTGTCAACAGTTGTCGCTGCCAATACCTACTTCTGTCGGTATTCTAACCTTATTGCAAAAATTTCTGTATCAGTGTTGGTGTTCTAGAAACTTTTTTGCCAATGTCATTTTGCATAAATAACTTAATCAATGTTCTTGTTATAAATTTGTGGGCTTCCTGCAAATTCGATTTATTGTTAGTTCCATACCATTCGCTCTATGTTATTCTCTGGTGGTAGTAACTGCTCTGTTTTTCCCAATTTGATATCCTCACTCATTTAACGGAGGCAGTTTATTCTTTGGTATCGGCAATACGTTCTGTAGTTTACAGACTGTCCCATGCCTGACCACGATATCATCCATTTTAAGTTGCCTGGCTATCTTTTCCGTTACATTTGAAACAAAAGGAAGACAAATGCAGCCTACAGGTTGACTACTTACCCTATCTGTTGTCTATAGCTTCTTCTCCCTGTTAGCCCGTTGGATGTCCTTCAACTTATAACCATTCTTTTGCAGTATATTCATTAAATGTCGTTCTTCATTTTTAAAATTTTCCGTTCCCTAGTTTCATAGCTCCTTGAAAATGTGTGCGAATCAACTCAGATGACTTTGATTTTCAAGGACTCGTCTTTACAATCGCTTCTTTAAATAGCTACACATAGAAGTTGGCAATGACTGGTGATAATGCCGATCCCATGGCCACTCCCTCATAAAGTGTTGTTATTTCTCTACAAATCTACTCTGTTCTTTTGCCAAAAATTTCTGCTAATTTCTATGTCAATACTGGCATTTTTGTTCTTATGCAAAAATTGGTGTTCTTGTCTTAACACAAATTTCTGCATCAATTTTGGTAATCAAAATTTCGAGGTCAAATTCTTGCACGACTACAATATTTTCTTTTTATATACTACTTAAATAATTAAATCGGTTAAATGATCAATAACATGAGTTGTGCGTCGTTGCTGTAAATTATGTAACAAGGCCCATTTCATTATCAATTTTATATCCAAAAAAAAATTGGGACAAAAACTTCTTTTATGGCTAGTTAATTAATCTGATTTTTTGAGGTTTGTGACAGTTCGGTACACTTAGCAATTTTTTTGCTGATGTGTTGAGCTTGTCTCGTATATTGTATTTTTTTGGCACTTTCCAAAAACGCATTTCCCAAAACAATGTTATCTCGAAAACTGCCCGTGCCTTTTAGAAGGTGAAATTAAAACCCCAAAAAGCACAGTTTAAAAAAACATCAAAATTTTTTTCAACGCTTTTATCCCATTTTTCTTATATTATAGTTTTAGAAAAAAATTCTTCTTTTTTATTCTTCCTGTTATTCATGATGCGGTGTGTCGTAATGGGAAATACTTTATTTAAAAAATACCGAGTAGCGATAAAATGCTAATTATGGCCATGACTTGAAGGAGGATTGGATTTGGTATAGGATTAAAGTTGTTCGCATGCCATATCACCTGACCCGATCCCATGTCTATGATAGGGAAGGATTTAAAAATGGTGGTTTAAAACGAACTTTGTGCGCGATGATATAATTTTTCGCAAGCTCCGCAGAACGCGAAACTACTTTAATTGCACGTTCCGTTGACTATAATTAATATGGTAATGATGCCCTCTTTTGTCCTTCGAACAATCGGTAAAGATCTTCGTGCTCGAGATGCCGAGGTGATCACCGTTCTCCAAGGACGTTCTTTTAAAAGCGAATTTTTTCGTCCCTTTTTAACTTAATTGAAATCGATCAATAAACCATACTTCATTTAACACTTTATTCAGATTTCTTTTTTTCAATTAACTATAACTGTTAATCGATCGAAATAACAGGTATTATAAAAGGTAGTAAATAATTTTTCAAAAAAAAAGAAATGTGTAACGTCGATAATGTTAATCCGTCATTATAAATACACCTAATGGCACTTTAACATGCGCGCCTCTTTATGTGTTATGGGGGAAAAAAGAAAGAAATCCCGTAAGCCTCGCGTTAAAGTCGCAATAAATTTTATTTCCAGTTCGTTCAGATTGGAACGGCCAGATTGCACGTTCACGTCGAGTTTTAATCCGAAAATGTGTTGCGCACTCCCCTTTGACCAACCCGGCCAAGACTTTTGCCATTATTTTAAAATTTTCGATTATCGTGAGATTACAGTTCCCAAGCGATTGTGGCTCTGGTTGCTGGTTCGGAAACGTTATGAGACCATGAAAAATTTCTTATCTGTGACACAACGCCAATCTCAACGGTGTTTAATGAAATATATAACGCAACGCGTTATTACCACACCCATAACAACTAATATAGGCGGACTTAAAAGTTTTAAGCACCACTTAATTATAGTTTCTTTGTTATATGTTATTTTACGGATAATTTATTATAATTACAGTTGTTATCTTATGGTTTGCTATTATTTTAAGCTGTGTGTTACTTTTCACTGTATCATTTTGTGAAAATGTTTAGATGTTATAATAGTGTTGTTTAGATTAACCAACTATTTAACTTAATACTACTCGAGAGCTTTGCCTTTAACTTTATTTTAATTCCCTCACAGAACTTGAACATTAGATTACATTAGAGATGTCTTAAGTAATAACAAACAAAAACAATAAACCACAAAAAAATAATCTGCAAAAAGAAATAAATTTTTACCCCGATCTTGTAACTTCTTGGTTCGGGCAAGTTTCTCAAGAAAAATATGTTTCCCCGACAACTACTGTCATAAATAGCGATTTTCTCGAGATTGTATTGTCTCGGCCGCAATCTTTTCTCAACATGCTAAAGTTATAACCATCAGGCTTGATATACAAAAAAATGTAATTCTATTTTTTAAAATCGTTGCTCGTTTCAATTCGAACATAAAAAATGCCATTGTTACCAAATGTATTGTTTTTTGTATCGTTTATTGTTGCGCTGGTCATGTCGAAATATTTCATCAACTGTATCGAAATTTTTTATGAATTCAAACTCAACATGGAATGAAATGTTTAACGAAGTTTGAAAGGATATTTATTTATTGTGTAAATTGGTGTGTTTTATTTGGATTAATTGCGCGGTAAATATATTATTATAAAAACGTTTTTATCTCGATTCACAACACAATAATTTTAGGGAATTTTAAATGCTTTTGACACTATTTTAATAATTTTTTTTTGTGTTAAAGGTATCGAATGTATAGAAAAAGTCAAACAACTGGCTTCCCATCGCTGATAACAATATTTTCAGCGCCGAATTACCTGGATGTGTATAATAACAAGGTAAATATTTAAAAAGTAAATAATTTACTTTTTATTCAATTAATTTTTGTATTGTTAGGCCGCTGTACTAAAATATGAAAACAATGTGATGAATATTCGCCAATTTAATTGTTCTACACATCCGTACTGGTTACCGAACTTCATGGATGTATTCACGTGGTCGTTACCATTTGTGGGTGAAAAGGTGACGGAAATGCTCGTCAACGTACTCAACATATGTTCAGACGATGAACTCGTTTCGGAAGGCGACGATGGCCAAGAAGAAGGTAGGAAAACTATGTTCACATTAACAATCATCATAAGACACATTCCGATACACATCACAATTTATTTTTTCCTCAACACAACCATAATTCGAGATTTTTCTTTTGCTGGTACAAAATAACGAATAAACAAAAAGTTAACAATAAATAAATAGTAAAAGGATGAAATGAAATTCGTGAATAGTATTTGTGTTTGTTAATCATTGTACATTCTTGAATTTATTTTCACCCCTCGCTTGAATATGGATAATGTTTGAGGGGAAATATTCGTGGTTACGTATTGTTCATGTTTTTGGGGTTTACCCTTTGCGTTCACGAAACGTTTGATTAAAAGCGAGAAAATTAGTTTTGATATGTGCAGTCACGTATTCCTGAGAATTTCATTAAAGTATATTAATAAATTTTATTTAGGTTTATTCGTATATTCACATGTATTAGCAATGAAAGATCGGCTCTTTGTACATAGGCAGAGTAAGTTAAATAATAAAAATTCTATGCAAATATTATGAAAGTGATACTAAAACATTTTATTTAAATATTTACATAGAAAAAACATTAAACGAAAAAGTAAAATACAAAAGTTGATATAAAAAAATTTATTTAGACGTGTTTACATACATGTAATTTAATGTAATTATGCTACTAGATGTTATTAAACTCCGCGTCTAAATCGTCTGGAAGTGAGTAAGAGTGAAAAAATGTTTTTTTTTTTTAATTTTAATTATTTTTAATTCTCATTGTCGCTTAATGTGCAATGTAACTCTTACTAATATTAAATAATAAATTACACAAGTTTACACGGAATCAGATATGAGCAGGGAAACGATGCTTCTAATGTTTATTATTAATTTGTATCTATTTTGCCATCAAGACTTTCGCCATAAGTTGCCTTTAATGATTTACTATTAAACCGAAAGTTATTTGCTGTCATCATGTACTTTAATTTTAAATGACACAATGTGTAAAACTTTTTCAATTATTTTTAAAAACCTTATTGGTTTTTTAATGAACAAGTTTTTTGAACTTTTTTATTAAATCCTTCATATTTTACCCAAATTCAACATTCATTCTTTGACCCCGATTCCAAATTCAATATATTTGTGTAACAAACTGAATCGCTTCAATCCCATCGTTATTCGAGTATTGAAGGACTACTTTATGAACTGAAATTCCGAATTTGGCGTGAGAAGAAAGCGAAACTTGAGATTAGAAATGAACCTAAATATGGCGAAATTGATGTTGTTCTAGGCGCACTTAATTGCAGTCAGGGAAAATGTGAGTTAAGTTAAAGAACTTGGAATACGAAGCTAAAGCTGCTTATACTCGCGATGTTCCTCTATGGTGTAGAATCCTGGACTATCAAAGTAGCTGATAGAAAAAGGATTGATGCTTCGAGATGTGGTGCTTGACTGAAATCAAAGACAGACTATTCACTATATGCCGGCGACGAATTCTACAATATTTTGGGCATCTAATCAGATAAGAGATATAGATAATCTGAAAAAATTATAAGTCCAAGAAAAAGTAGAAGGCAGAAGACCAAGAGGAAGGTCGCTAACTAAGTGACAGGACCAGGTAAAAGAGATAAGACACTCAGTTATGCACAAGAAGAAAAAATTGTTTGTTTGTTCAGTTACATTCTTCCTACTACGAGTTCTCTAAACAAAAAATAGAGTATCTGATTTTAAACGCATAAACTATATACAGCTACCACTTTCTGGTCTGACGTCGAATGTTTTAAATGTTTTAAAATATAAACGTTATTTTCAAAAACTATCGCAATCATCATTATGATCAACAAAAGCTGCTTCGCTTAGATTGTGAGATCGGATTTTCAGAAGAGTTTTACATAAAGACCTTGTTTTTCATCCTTATAAGTTGATAGTTGTTTTCTGAAATAGATTTTGCCCAACGTTGAGAGTTTTGTAACATAATGGCAAAATTTTGATTGATGCTAACAAGGCATGAGCAGTATTTTTACTTATATCTTTTGGAGTGTGATTCCATGGAGGGCTGATTTTGACAAATAGAACGGAAACGCATACGATAGAAATTAAGGTTTCTAGGTTTCCAGAAAAAAATGAATAGCAAGGTAAAAATACTGATGTGAGTTTTCCAATGGTATTACAGAAGTTCTCATAGGCAGGCACATAGCGTTACCTAACACCATTGCCACGTGAAATTCCGAACCCAAGATTTTCAAGCAAATTCGGGTTCTTTATCCAAATGTTATGTTCAGAAGTTACAAAACCTTGAAGGATAGACTAAAATGTTTGGAAACAGCTTTTGCATTTATTTATTTTCTATGCAAATTACGTAGCCTATAAAGGCCTATAAAGATATTTTAAATTGACATCAAGCACAAACATATAATTTTTGAAATTGTACGTTTTGGCAAACGATATATTTCCTGTAGGGATATAAAAGAATACTTACTCAGAACCAAAATGATTTAGAGTTACATCCAGTGTAATAAATTTAACTTACATAAACTCCTTTCTCATGCTTAAAATCGATATTGATAAACTTGTGTAATTATTCTGTTATTAGACAATTAATTCACTCATGCTCGGTTTTCACTCAATGTACCTTTAAAACTTTTGTATTCTACTAATCCGTTTAACACCTCTAGTCATACTTATATTATTCGTGACCATGTTCAGAAACTAACATTTTTTTATCAAGATTCTACCTTTATTAGTGATTAGAGTACATCCCTACACACACGGTTTATATTAAAGACAAATAATTTCTGACACGCTTTTTTATTTCCGAAAAATTAAATTAAATCGTCCAAATGCAAATGTATAAATTTTGCAAACATGGAAAATTTCAAAAATTGTTTACTACTTTTTTCAATGCTACTTGGAATACTAGATGGTAAGGTTCAGTTTTATTTCGTATTATTATACAATATTGACTCGCTTCAGACTTGTAGATACAGTATAGACTGCCTGGATAGTTTTTTTATTATGTATTTTTTTATTTTAATTTTTGTTTTATTTTATTTTCGATAAGCTAACCAATCAAAACTAAATAGACGAGTGACAAAATTGAGCGGGTGGTTAATAATAATACATAACTATTGCGATCATTATAATGTACATTCTTGTTTTGTTTGATGTTCTTCATGTTTGATTTGATAAAACCCTTTTGTTTTTGTTGTTTTATTTTTTTTCTTTAAAATCGAGACCGTCCTTAAAAAATATATAGGAATGCGTCCCAAGTAGCATATTCTATATTATATACTTTTACTTATAGTTTGGTTTGTTTCTGTTCACGTAGATTTGGTTTTTTAATATCCTTGTGGATAGTTTGATCAAATTTTACGGATTTTTCTACTATATTGTTCGCACTGCATAACTCCTCGGCACTGAACAAATCGAGTCGTTCCTTATTTATTTTTCTTTCATTTACTTGTTTATACCACCAAGACAAAAAATAATCCATGCACACCGTATGCTTATATTTTTCTTCTATTCTGACACTTCTATTTTTCACTATTTGTCTATATTCGCCTTGGAATCGCGCCCCTACACAGCGAAACAACCAAAAATAGTTATTAAAAAACCTGGTAAGTTATCACAGAACATGCAGCTTGGACAGAAGAGTTAAAATAACACTGCATTAATCATTTGACAATACAAAAAGAAACTTTTTTTGATACAGTTTTGCCACTGTTAATTATGCTACTTAATCTTTTCATTATTCAAGTTATTATTGCCCGATTTTTTTTTCTTTTTCTTTATCTCCCCCCTTCGAAAATTTATTCGAATTTGTATTCTAATTAAAAAGAAATATGTTTTGATTTCGAGATGAGTAGCATATTTAATACATGGTGTTAATACACCGAAAATACGTTTTTTTGAATCTAAACCAAATTAATGAGCTATTTTTATTTAATTTTGTGATTATAATTTGTTTTTTATTAATTCATTTTTAATTATTTTTCTTTTTTGATCAAAACACTAACCACCTTTGAAATTTTACAAGTCCAAATTATGAGAATTGATTATTTCTTTTTCATACGAAATCTAGAGCAATAATTGAATAATTTTCGTAGTATTCTTTTTTTCTTTACATTTTTTTACGTTATTTTAATTTCGTTCGATGAAGTAGAGGCGTAGTTTTGCATGGCGCATATACTTTATATTTTGGAGCTATTAGCTAATTTACTATTTCTTTCTTTATTATTCAAAGGAAATAAGGAATAAATTTGCGTTTATTAACATTCACTGTTGTATGCAATAGTTTCTTAATTAACTAAAATAAACGCAATTTTTTCTTTTAAATTGATGTTGAAAGCATTCAATCACCATTCATTACATGTTGAATAAAGTGGAATCTGTGTATATGTATTTTTTTTGTTGTAAGTATACAAAGACTGTGTACACGTGAGCTGTGTTCACTTGCTATTAATTGGCAACTAATTTAAATAGTCTTGTGTACGCTAATGTTTAGATAACAGCTTGATTAATTAATTAAAGCTTTTTCTTTTAATCCGATTGCACAGGTGAACACAATTCGAGTTCGTACGACAATAAAACTGCAACTTGTTGGTTTTGCTTGTTCGTCATTACTATAATTAGGTACACATCACAAAAATATATATTTATTTTTTTTTTTTGTTCATTATACCCGTATAAAAGTAAACAGAACAACGGAAACGCTAGATTTTGTTACTCCTTGTTGCGAAAAAGCGCTTGGTTTATGAAATGTTGGCTTAGTTTTCCGATTTTTAACGTATTGTGTTTATTGATTGGCTTAACTTACAAAACGAAAAATACGTTTTCTTGCTTATTTTTTTCGCCTTTAACGTGTTGTATAATTTTTACGGTTTTAATGCCGAATTAATTGTTTTAATTTTGTTCCTTTATTTTTTTTTAACGTATTGGTCTCTCATATCGTTTAAAAACAACAAAGTTTTTTTTTATCAAAACGAATGAAATGATCGTTCAAATGTAGAAACTGTTGTTTTAACGATAAAACGAAAATAAAACTGAAATTAAGTAGTATAGATACAAAAAAATAATAAGTGGAGAAAAAGAGAGAGACACGTAAAAAAGGAAGTAATTTTTTTTTTCGTTTCTTATTCGTGTGTCTGTATGATGGCTATAATTTTCTACATGCACCGTTTGTTTTTGTTTTTTTTCTATAACTCTACGCTCGCTACACTTTGCGCCACTCTGCCCGTTTGCTGTCGATCTTCGTCAACGGTGCCGGCTGAATTCCTGCATCGTTCGGTAAGTTGACAGTTCGCTGTTTATTTGTCAAGGACCTACTGCTGTTGCGCACACAAACAGGATACCAAATAAAGTAAAATAAATTATTTATAAAAAAAAAACGAAAGAGATGAAGAATTAGGTCCATCACAACTCCTTAAAAGCTCCAGATAAAAAAGTTATTTATTTTATGTAATAGTACAGCAGTAATAGTAACAGCGATTCAATGTGTTAATATGTAGGTACTACTAAAAGCAAAGCAAAAAGTTTGTTGCAAAAAATTAAAATTAATAATCATACAAAAAAAGTTTTTGCATGATTGCTTTTGTATACCGTTTTGTATGAGTATAAACGTATCCATTCGCCTAAATAACTGATAAAACTAACAAATAAGTTTTAAAGCTAAATCTGCAGCACGAACAGTGATAGGTCCTTCACTTTTCGTAATCGCTAAGCATTTTTGCATGTAAAAATTCATAATGACAATTATACGATGCGGTTCCATATTACTAATTAATAAAGTACCAAATTTGAAAAAACTATTTGGAACCATTCTAAAACAACGTACTTTTAAAAATATACTTAGTAGTTTTATATATATAGCTCCTTTTTTGTAACATATTCTACAAGAATAAATATTGAGAGAGATTTTGCAACATAATCCGTTTACTTGTTTATTTTTTGTACGGTGACAAAAATTGTGTTGGAATTTGATGAATACAAAATGTTGTGTGTAAAAGATTTTGATACAATGAATAAATAAAAAGAGAAGGTAAAATAGTTGCTTTAAGAGATGTAGGTTAAAACCGAGATGATTTTTACTTGTCATCACGAAGCTAATTAAGATTAAGCGTGTTTTTTTGATTTTATTGAGTTGAAGAGTTGACTTCTACGTTTTAGTTTAAAACTGTTTGTTTGTGTTTGATATTAATTTTATCGTGAATTTTATAGGTACAGCAGCAAATCTACGAAAAGAGGTTATTCGCAATAAGATCCGGGCAATCGGGAAAATGGCTAGAGTATTCTCTGTATTAAGGTAAGTTAGATTATTAGTTAATTTTATTTTTTATCCAATTTTGTTCCAAGTCCCTTCACCCCACTATAATTCACAAGTTAAGTCTATATACATTTTGCGGTTAAATTAATACAAATAGTAGCTAATTAGTTCGGTTTCATCAACTTTGATGTCACGTCACATACAAGATACGACCACTGAGTTGCGGTGTTACCAAACGTTTTCTCAACACCTTGATTTATGAACGGTTTAAGTCTGTCTTGATTTCGAATCTAAAATATAGCATTTCGAAGATTACATTAACACCTTTATTGAATGAACTATATTTATAAATATGTAATAATAATTCTTTCTTCAAGGTTTACTTTTAAAATTTGTATAATCGCTAGTCATTTGAAATCAAACGTTTACTTTTGTATTTTTACTCAACAAAAAGAGAAGCTATTTCACTACTTACGTTCATACACCAATATTGATATATAGCGGGAACCAGGTTGTGAGATGCTGAGGTGGAGGTCTGGGATGATATTGACACAAGTAAGGGATGACCTTAAAGGGTGTCAGAAAATTGGTTAGATCTGATATTTATTATGGTTAGATATCATGTTGAGAGAAACTGTCGGCAATGTTAATAGTATCTAATAAGTATTCTAATTACGAAGAGTGTTGAGAGATTTTATGATCGATAGTCAGAGATGAGAAAGATTGAGGTGTACGCCAAGAGTCAGGGCTAATTGAGCATTTTTTGTATTGGTCTCAATTTCTTGATATTGTAAATCCGTAAATCAGGTAAATTTTTAAATCATGTACGCCGATGTAGAATGTATAGCCAAACGTAGCGTCAACTTCAATATCATCAGTGTTGTTAAAAACAAGGTCGTGTAAAAATTAAACCGTGACACTGATCACCTGGAATTCAGGCATATTTTGGGTCACCTAAGTCAATATGACGTAATTACTTACAGGTTAACAAAAAAAACCAGCGATATAAATTTCTAACTGGTTAGAAACTCGTCATTTCATTTGGACGCATCAAATAATGCCTTATAATTTGCCGCAGAGATAATGAAGTACGAGATAGGTAATTTAATAAAAGAGGAATTGTCTGCAAATTGCGTCTTGTTTACAGTTTGTCTTCTACTAATTACTTGTTTTTCTAGATCGCGCCATAATTGGAATGCAGTAATCCGATTAAAATAAATCCTATCCTTTAGAAATCAGATTTATCTTCTAAGTACGGTTGATAAAACATAATATTACATATTTTACAAGAAAACGTATAAAAATTCATAGCGTTTAATGTAAACATCATTGTAAACACAATGAATCTTCCTGCTAAGAAAAAGGATAATCCTTTTAATTGATTACATTATAAAGATGAGGTAAATATAGTATCTTTTAAAGTGGTAATTAATACATTCTTTAAAATAAAGTAAAATAAAATTTTCTAATAAGTCACAATTTCTTTCACCTCTCAATGTCCTTCAGTTAATTTAGGATTAATCTTAAGTCGTCTGAGTCATCCTCTACCAAGTGTGATCTATAAATATCTTCCCATTTGCAATATTAATTGTTGCCACTCAGAAACAAATATTTTGTTCTGTAATAAATATTGTACATATATAAACGTACATATATAATGTAAATATTGTATATGTTTAACTTCGCGGATTTTATTGACATTTCTATTCGAAAAATTTCTTTAACAACACGCTGTCAAAATTACCAATTCATTTATTGATTGCTATTATAAATTCAATTTAAACACTTTACTCTGTATAATATAACATATACCACGCTAAATACATTTTTTTACAGAAAGGTGAAAATTGGAGTTTTCAACGTTATTTTAATTACTTTAACTCCCAACTTTAACTTCAACATTTCCTCAATTTTGGTCCAATTTAGCTTGTTAGAAGGTACGGAAGTTGCAATTTCATCAGGTGCCGTCGTGTTTCGCCCTTTGCTCTTTCCTTCGATTGCATGCGGACTTGACCACTTTAAGTTCTAAACTAGTAATTTCCAACAACAACGTGAACTACGTTTCGCCGCCACGCCGCAATGTTGATAATTATAATGATTGCGGCGACCATTTTTTTTTTCTATTTGTAGCGCCTCAGTTTATTTCAAACTCGTTTCGACTGCTTAAAAGGACAAGGTCCTCGTTGCATAGTAGTTAATGAGAAAAGTTTCTGTGATGGTCAAGCCCAGGGGAAAATCGCGACGATCCCCAAAGTACTAGGGCTTAAATAAAACTAGGCGGTTACTAGTTTAGTGTTTCCGAAAGTTTAATAAAGTTTTAATTTAATGATTTATTTTTATTGCGTTATGTCTGATGGTTTTAATTTATTTGCAGAGAGGAAAGCGAATCAGTGCTTCAGTTAAAAGGACTTACACCTACTGGTGCTTTACCTCTTGGAGCTCTTTCAGGTGGTAAAACGAGTCTCAAGAATGGTAAGAAAATGTTTATAGTACGATAATTTAGTTTTATAATTAATTTTTGTTTTGTTATAGCCCTACAAGGGTTTTCACCAAACCACAAGATTACTAGTTTTGCGGAAGCAAAAGGTTTGGACGCGATTAACGAACGTATGCCACCGAGAAAAGATGCTCCTCCATCGCCTGCAGACGAGGCGCCCCAAGATCACAATCACACCCAATCCAATGCGCACTCGTGAGCTACACCTAAATAATGCATCACATATGTCCATGCGCAAGTAATATTCTTTTCTTAAATAAATTTAATAAAATAATCATAACTCAATTTCAATTTATTAATCTGTCAACATCAATATTTTTTACAATGGCAAGTTTAGAAGATAAATCATCTATAACAACATTAGCTTCAGAAGAAGAAAAATTTTTTTGGACTACATTTAATTGCGCTTATAACTGGTATTTGAAAGCGTCACTAAAAAATAAATTAAAAGTATTAACATTGATGGTAGAAAATTTGAACGATGAATCGTATTTAAATATTTTATTATCCAGTTTTAATTTTGAAACGGATAAATTAACGATGTATAGTGAATGTAATTCGAGAGCATTTTATATTTATGATATAAAATTGAGAGATCACAATAGAGGATTGGATGATGAATTTCTGAATGCAACGATATCTAAATTTATAGGATGGTATAGTAATTTGGAAAATAGTCAACAAATTACTGCTATGATTGAGTTATTTAAAGTAAGTGGTGGAGCGATACTAAAAAGTATTTGTGACGTTATAAAGAACCAACTTAGAAATCAAGATAAAAATAAAGTTATTGCTGATTCTATAGAGGAAAAAATTGATTTGAACCAATTATTTTTGGAGAAAAAACCTGACGAAGAGGATAAGGATGACTCAGTGAAAAAAGATAAACATAAAAAAGGTAAAGAAGGCAAACATAAAAAAGGTAAAGAACATAAGAGTAAAAAAGGTAAAAAAAAGGAGCATAAGAAACCTTTAACACCATTGGAAATTGACATAGAAAAAAAGAAAAAAATTTGGGAAGATGAAATAAAAAAGTATAGAATTTCTGTTGAGGGTAAACCAAATACTGGAAAAAAGAAAGGTAAAAAAGATAAATCATCCAAAGGTAAAAGTTCTAAAAGCACTAAAACTTCAAAGAAAAGTGGCAAGGGGAAAAAAGGAGAAAAAAATTTAGTTGATCAAATACAAATGTTACCAATATGGGTTGTTAAGAAAATCTTTAGCTATTTGGACAAAAAGACATTAAAAAAAGTAAGAACCGTTAACATTTACTGGACGTATATAGTAGACGATTTAGCCAAAGATAAGAAAACCATGAAACCAGTACAAAAAATATTAAAGAAAATGAAAAAAAATATTGCCGAACTTGATAGTCCAGACTTAAAACCAACAGGACTTCTTGACGGATTATCTCACAGAGAAAAGAAGATGATGAACCTCGCCGACCGAGGAGCAATAGATCCTGCTATAAGAAACGTTATAAAAATACCTGCAGAAGGTAAAACCTTACTAGAGAGAGCTATTACAATGGCTGATTCTCAATTCAAAATTCCCAACACTGCATATAAAGCGTTTCCCAGAGCTGAAGGTAACAAGAAAGATTTATTAAACCTACCTAAATTCGCTTATACTGAAGCTGGTGTGTTTAATTATGGAAAGAAACCTGAAGGTGGTGTTGTAACTATTGTTGAACTTGCTGATTATGATGATATTGGATTAAAAGTTAATCCAATGAATAATTATCAGATTTATAATGATAACAATAATGAGGCAAATAATGACGATAATGACACCAAGGATTAACATTTTATTTCTATTAATTATGTGTAAAAAGAATCATGAAAAAAATTATTTTTTAAAATATAAAGTGATAATGCGATGACAATACAAGAAATTTATGTGCAACAAAAAAAATAAAATAGCTATAAAAAATAAATAAAACTTGGGTCTTCAAAATCTTGTATTTTATGATATCAGATGATTTTCTTTCTGTATTGTCGTTTATGCACATTTTTTTCCATTTTGAGAAACAATTTCCTTAAATTTTGAATTTTTGTTTATGCCTAAAGAGATGCTTGTATGATATTTGCAGTTCATCCTAGCAGAGCGAGCTTCTGGGTCATTATGTATAGGTACTGTTCGAATTCCATTTATTACAATTTTTATTTTTTTAAACAAAATACAGTATGTCCGTAAAGTAACGGATATAGGCCATAAAATCATTATCAACAGGTTATGGAAAAATCCCTGAAACGGGTCTAAAGATTTAAATATTTTGCAATTTTTTAGTGTAGATTTCAATTTTTTTCCGCCAGTTTTAAACGAATTATGACGTCATCGATTCTTCAAACGAAGAGGATGTTTTTCTGAATCTAGTAGAGTTAATATTAATATTGGTTACATAAGAAAATTTTCGAGAAAAATTACTTTAAAGTTTAACTACTTCAAATTTGTTGATATGATAAAAATAGCAGTAGCCATGAGTAACTATAGTAACTTCTTGTGATAGGATTTAATGCGATAATTTCGAATTTAAGTCTAGACATTCAGGTATGTTTATCAATAACTTACAACTAGATGCATGAAATATTTAATGGATTATGCAGTGTCCATTGGTTTTAACTCGACAAGCAGAAAACTACGTTTATCCTCTCCACCAAATGATATATATGGCAGAAAGAACAATTACTACACTTATAGAACGTGATAATATAAAACTAATATCGGAGACGAAGTTTTTAGACGTTACATTTGACACTAAGTTGTCTTAACACAGTCACATTTAGTTCAACTATTGGTAATAACGGGTCTCTGGTATGACCATTGATCTCATGCGAATGTTATCAGGTACTAGATAGGACGCATTTGATATTAATATTGTATTGGTAAGAAGTTCAAAAAGCTGGATATGATACAAATCACCTGGTCTGAGCAATGTTTCACCAGCTGTTGCATACTTATATGACTGCAGCTACAAAACCAGCAGCTGCGAAAGCAAAAGAACTAGCAAGTTTTGAATGCGGAATTCCATCTAAATTTAAACTTAAAATTTTGAACCATGCGCAAACAACAGAACTTTTATTGGCCCAATTATAATATGCTATATTGCGATTTGCAAGATTTTCATGCACCTATTAAAGTAAACTTTACCACCTACTTAGATATGGAATAAGAAATTAACTGACATTTACGAAAATCTTCAAACGACGTTTTACCTTTTTATTAGTTAGAATTAAATTATATAATTCTTGTTACAGATGTACACAATCAAGAAGATTGGTCCAATTGCGATGGCATCTCATCTCTTATATACATGTTACATCTTTTCTTAGCTTGTAATCACAATTTATCGTTGGGACGACAGGATCGTTCACATTCTTTCAAACAAAGTAGCTGGTCTGCTTCCTACCTTCAGTACCTTCCGCAATTCGAGCCTCCGAACTGGGCAGTTTTTAGTTGAAGCTTTTATTAAAAAAAATCTAACTTTGAAAATGTAAACTGTTTTTTTTATAGTCAACCTTAATAATAACATTGATAATGTTTGATTTTATTTGATAATACTTTAATTTCTGTCGAGAATAAAATGTTTATTTATAGTGTGTAGAGTTGGCGGTTCGAACATGCATGGGTTGCACGTGTTTTATTGAGTGATAAACGTGCCATAAACCTGTCTGTCACCAAGGAAAAATGAATATAAAACATTGTTATCGTATCTCATCATCTTTCCCATGTACATTTTCACTATACGTGTGTTTATTTAAGTTTAAACTATTAAAAAATTGAAGATATTGCTATATATATATATACATAAATATATTATAAACTCATCCATGAGTCGAGAAAATATTTCTATCATTTCTCTCTACTATATGACATTTACATAGAAGGATATATAATAATATAAAGAAAAGTTACTTGTTTACAAATGGATAACACAGAAAATACATAAACAAGTTTGCTATAAGCTGTACTTATTTTTTTGATTGTACAAATTCTGTTGACGTGTTTTAAATGTAGTATGGAAACTTGCTGGCTAAGAGAACTGTTTCGATATTATTAACATTTCCAAAAAGAAAAGGGAAAAAATAAACAACATAAGTACTAAACTAACTAACAAATAATAATATCAATGTGGTTTGTTATAAAAGACATTAGAGTTTACATTTCAATTCGGATTGTAATTTCTCAAATAACAAATTTCAAATTTTTGGGGCTATTAAAGATTATATTAACTGTTAATGAGAGTTATATAACTAATTTAGTTTTGTATATATGTAAGAATATAGCGGTTGTTATAAACTCTGTTTTATAGAATCTCTTTCTATGATGCGAATTGAAATCATTTTCTGAGGCAGCCAGTTTGCTGTGTGAATGATTGAAGTTACGTTGTGTGCCAGTGTGTTAAATTATATATCTAATTAAACTTATTAAATTCTGTAAATTTATTCTATAATATATACATATAATATTATTATGGTATAGTTGATTATTATAAAGAGAAAAAAAAAACTAGAAAATATCTCAACCAAGATTATCGACTTAGAAAAAAATTAGGAAAATATCAAAAAAAAAAAAAGGAAAACAGAAATTTCATAAAACATATATTGTGACGTCCCTTAACTTTTATACATATGTACTACACAGTCGCGCTTATGATTCATTGATTGTAAGCTTTTACTAAATCTAAAAAAAAAAAGAAAAAAGGAAAAGTAACGAACCATTTACTTAAACAATCTTTGAAGGATTTATTCTTGTATTGGTCATGTTTTTATAAATATATGTAATTGTTGGTTAAGCTCTTGATATACCTAAGTAATATTTACTTGTAGATATACATATATATTAACTGTATCAAAATTTGGGGCATCCCATTGTTTTTAGCAACACTTTCTCCCGCTCTTCAAACAATACATTTAAAGATTTGGTAACATCAATCACTGAATACTAAAGCTCATTATCATTTTGAATTATTTTTTAATCCATCATATTCTACCAACCTAGTCATGTTAATATACCTTTTAAAATGTTTCTTTTAATATCTTAATTCCCCAATTTCTCAAAACACCACCTCAAATTCTAAATAAAAATGTCGGCGGCAAAAGAAACTTGTGGAATATGGTGATCAATTAATATGGTGTCTAAAAAAAAATTTGCATTGTTTCCTTAAAACGCCAGACTGTGGTATATCTAAGCAATAAATGACACATTTTTCTATCTAGCTAAGAACAATCCATAACATTTTAATATGTCATGCTTAAGTGATTGGTTGACAAATCTTTTATGTATAAAACATATATATTATATACGAACATCTTTCAAAATGTGTAGTATGCGACCTTTAGTTGATCTACGACTGAAGAAGTTAACGTTCGGATTTCTCTTTTATATTATCAAAAAAGAAAAATAAAATAAATATTTTTTGTTAAGGTTTCGATTAAAATCGCTGACACTCGATCTAAATTTAAACTTTTTTTCGTGAATACCATTGTAAATGTGAGGCATTCTTCATTAGCTTGGTAAAAAAGAAGTAAATTCATAAAAAAAACCAAGCAATAAAGTACGCTGAGTTGTTTGTGATAGCTATATTTCTTTTCAAATAGCTTTACTATAATATTCTAGTTTGGTATTTTGCATTAACTGAACTTAAATGTTGTACGCAACCATACACTTGTACATACTGCTGCTGCAAAATACCAAATCGTGGTAAGTCATCTTTTTGAAAATAAAATCTTTAAAATTGTATAAATATAAAAAAAAACTATCTATAATGCCTTCATACTTCCTAACTTATTATAATGATTATTATATATAATAATGCACTGAAGTATTGGGATGTTAGACTTTTAATACTTTAGTACTATCACTGTGTCACAAAAACAGTGGCCATTAATATTAATCTCAGTACTGGAAAATAATTAACAAATAATATCACAAAAAAAGGCATTTATCGAAAACAGTCCGTAAAAACCATCAATAATAAATAAGAAGTATGTGTTTAAGAAACGTAATGTTTTTGTACTTAACAGATCTTAACTGTTAATATATACAATTTTTAACGTAACTCACACTTAATATTAATAATAATTATAATAAATCATTCTTCGAATTATGGTCAAAAAGATATTTATACCTTAAGCGCATTTTATCCCAAAAAAATAAAACATTTTTGCGTTACGTTTCTTAAACCATATTACCAACAAAATTAAGAATGTATAAAATATCAAATCCTTCATAATATAATAAAAACACAACAAAATTACAAGTCACAAGTGATATTTACAAATTAAAAACGGAAGAAAATTCAAAAACTGTTTTCCAGTACATCTAGACTTAGCTGAATGTTTTTAAATAATTGAATATACATTATATACATATTTAAAAAAAATGAGAAAAGGATGACGACGCATTGATATAATTCATATCAATCGAAATGTGCAATTTACGATGGACAAACTTCTAAAAGTTCTGCATGTTTCTATTTGGCAGTTGTTTATATCTGTGATCGCCTTGCGTTACTTGAGTTTACACTGTGTTACTACTTTCGTCGAGGATGCGGTTCGTTTAAATGAAAAAAAAATATTTAAAAAAAATGATATATGAAAACAAGTAAAAATAATAATTAATAAAATGTTGCAATTCTACATTTCAATTGTACTGGATATTTTGATTTTGTGTTCTTATTAAATATATATAATTAATTAAACATTTTTAATGGTTTTATTTTAATAATTAAGTAATTGTATTATTTTTATATCCTTTTTTCAACCGAACCTTTGGTAATAACCGAAACTTTGTTCGTCTAGTCTCGGCTGGTGTTCGTCTATTTTCGCATCTGCTTTGGTTTGCGCGTATGGAAGTTTTATCTAGTTTCAAGCAAGATGAAACAAGTTTGTATACATGCATCTATCTTGTGAAGCGTATACAAAAAGTATGTAAAGAGAGAAAGACGAAAAACTAGTTGGAATTTCTACGAGCCATGTGTAAACTTTGCAGAAAATTTTTTTCTTTGGGCAGTAACGAATCAAAAAAACAAACTATACATGGATTGTAGTCACTTTTGTCTCAGTTTGAGCAGAAAAATGAAGTTAAGTTAAAAAAGATAGATGTGGAAAACATTAATAATAATCGAATCTCATACAATGTAGGTTGACAGATATAACAAAAAAAATAACGAAACAACCGCAATGATAAGGCCAATGGACTTTATAATTGTCGACATGCTGACATACTCTATAGTGGAAATTACTGCTTTTAGCCGTAAAGTAGTAAATACAGTTAAATCTGAAAAATATTTGCAGATATCGTTAATGCCTCAAACATATGACAAAGTGAAGGCAAAAGTAATCAAACAAAGCAAATGGTTAAGTTGCACGACCGATGTATGGACAAATCCATTAAAGTCGTGCTCATTACTAAGTTTGACAAGTCATTTCCTAATGGGATCATAAATATTGAAAGTTATATTGGAAGCTATTGTACTGGAAGAGAACCACACCGGCATTTACGTTTCAGAAAAGCTTACTCGAATTGTGGGTGAATGGAACATAAACAACAATTTCAATTCGTGCAATGCAGCAAATATGGGTTGTGCAACACACACACTTTGCAGCTGGTCATCAACGAAGCCCTATTCAGAGCAGAAGGTATAGAAACAGCGATAAAAAGGTGCAGAAGAATCACTCACTTTTGAAGGAGTGAACAATGCAGAGTCACTCTTTACGAAAAGACATAGTGTAGTGTAGTGGAATAGCATGTAAGTACCTAATGTTGGCAACGATTGGTTGAACAAAAACGTGCATTATTAAGATTATTTGTTTTTTACTTTGTGATGAATACAGTATTTATTATTTATTAATTTAATAGGAAGATATGGAATATATTTTATGTGGAAAAGATATAAAGTGCCAAATCTTATTAAAATATTATATTAACATTATATTTCGTTTTTAATTACACATATACAAAATAACACTTAACATATAATTTAAGTATAACTATTAAATACTATAAAATATTTTTTTCTTATATAAATAATACGAAACTAAAATCCAACACATTGTTCCCCAAACGTTTTCGAATAACCTCAAAAAGTGAGTTTCATTATTATCAACGTCCCATCTAATGGGAAAGTTGGAATACGTTATACTATGACCTATATACATAATAATTGCGTTCATGCCCGCAAATAAAAACGGTTTTCCATTCCATATTTTAATTACGTCTATTAATAGATAACAGAATGTTAATAACAGAAATGCTAAACTCGACGTAACCAATACAAACGATAGAGACCTGGAATAAAAAGGTTATTTAAAAATCTCCAATAAAATTTAAAAAAAAACTTACCAAAGATTTTTGTTAAGTGGAATCACTCCGTTTTCCTTAGAAAATCCACAAAGAACAGCTCCTATAAGTCCTGTGTAAAAGGCCCAAAATGTCCATCTAATGGCGCGTTTTTTATAGCATTTTATAGTTAGTAATATAATTCCGGCTTTTACACCTAAGAATACTTGAATTATTGATGTTAAACATCCTAAAAGTTATAGATAATTTATAATTAATTAAAAAACATTTAATAAAATTTATTTTACCAAATATTCCTTCAGGATCAAATGGTTTCGAATTATAAATTTCTTTTATTGTTGGATATTGGTAAATATGATTTCCCAAGATCACTTCATCTATGTGACCTGTAACTCCACCGGTACAATTAAAGTATTTACCATTTTCATGAAATCCTCCTGGACCAAGATAGCCTCTAAATAATAATAAAATACAATAAGTTAAATATTTGTATTTGATTATTAAGTTACTTTGGACATCCATCTATTTCCACAAGAAATATTACTAGACAATATATAATTAAAATAATAAGAATGATAATCCACATTTTATATGTATGCAGTATTTCCGAAAAATAATTTTTCCATTTTCTCTACAATAATAATATTATTAAATTAATACCATTTAGTTAAATTTACATCTTACATCGAATTCTGCATAATCAACTTCCATTAGAAATAAGCACATTGTAGCAACAACCAAGTAACAAATTCCGAATCTTTGCAAAACACCAAATATTCTTAATTTTTCCAAATTGGTTCCTGATCCCAAAAACAACCCAATTGCAAACAACGTACATGATCTCTAAAATTTAACAAATTAAATTACACCTTATCGATTACATTGTAGGTCTTACCCTAAGAATATTAAGAAAAGCTGTTCCTTTTGGCGTTTCTTTTTTCAACACAGATCTAATAGATATTGGTATACACACTCCCATTATCCATAAAAACCATGGAAAAACTAAATCGGCCACTTGTAATCCGTTCCAAACGGCGTGATCAGTAAATACATATCCTCCACCCCCGTAATTAACAAATATCATCAATACTATTGAAATACTAAAATATAATAAAAAAGGTATTCTCTATTATTTATGTTTTTTTATATTACCCTCGGAAAGTATCTAACGATTTTAAACGTTCTTTAGTTGTAACTGGATCAGATTCGTTTTTTACATCTTTTTTGAATACATACTTCTTGACGATTGAGTAGAGTGGTATTAGGAAAAAAATGGAATAGATTAAAATTACTGTTAGAATTGCTAAAAAAGAAAAATTTTTAAATAAAATTCTACTTTGGTGTTACATAACTAAGTATTCAATAATGAATTGTAAGTGAATAAAACAGATATCTTAAATTATGAAGTAAAATTCTTTATTGCAATATTAAGGCCTGATTGGCTTGAAAGTTTCTGACTTCAAGGTTTCAAAAAATTTGTTGCTTAAGTGTTAATAATACTATTTGAGGGAGCAACGATCTTTTTCTGGAAAATTGCAGCTTTGTCTAAAGTGGCTAGCTGGATTTCAACCCGGATTTAAACCAAATATGTGAAATAATTGCGTTTGTCGGATCCTGTTATCAGTTTTTCAAAGTTTTGTCTCTATATAATTTTTAGAACGATTTAAACGAATTATAAATTAAAAAGAATCAGAAATAAGCCATGGTGTGTATTCCAGACTGAACGTCGCGCCTTTATTTTCTTATGCAGGTACAATAAAGGCGCAAACTTTACCGCAATTTTATTCATCGAGCGGTTGCGAAGATATCTCTAAACTGAGGGGTCTTCACTTTTGGTGCGGATAGTAGTGAAAATATATTTCACAAACAAGTGTTTGTATACAATATTCATCATTAAATAATTGATACGAACATGATAAATATTCGAGATTTATTAGTTATTTTCTAAGAAAGGAATATTAAAAACCTTATACTGTTTATAAGAAAAGTTACCGCTTTTATCAAAACTCACATGATGCAATAAACAACCTAAGTCTAAAATTAAACTACGACAAAATAAAACCTATTTATAAACTTTTTGTGTTGTCAATATACACAACCACTAATAACGATATTTAATAAAGCGTAAAATATTTCCCAGAATTCCCAGATGTTTTAAGATCGTTTAATTATAATATCTAATTATTATGTAAATAAACATTTCACCATTTCTAATTGTATTAAATTGCATTATATAACATTAATCCTCGATTCATGCTTTTTATTACTGTCTAAGTACAGAATGAGTGATGTAATAAAATTATAGCATTGTTGCAAATTCTATAAAAAAAATTATGGTGATTATATTTAAAATGACCAATCTAAACCGCAGTAAAACCACAATAAAGACTATCAAGGTGGTCATTATTACGTAACAACAATAATTCATAGGTATATCTACAGAGTGTTAGAAAAATTAATAAAAGTTTTGATGTTCTGAAAGAACATAGAATGATATGGTGGTATTTGTTGAACATTGAATGAAAAACTTTGTAGAAATTGCTTAAAAACTATTTTATCCACAAAAAATCAATTAGTTAATTTTGTTTAAAATAGTCAATCATCCCAGACAATTTTATTCTTCAATTCTGCTCATCAAACCAGATCATTGACGCTTACAGCAAGATAGTTACTGATGTACAAAGATTCGCATCTTACTTGAACTACTAAATGAATTCAACAATTTATTTATAATAGCATATTTGCTGACGTTTGTTATATTATTTTCTGTTCTGCTTTTCTTCATAATAAAAAGTTATGTATCTTTTTTTCTTTTCCTCTTTTAATTTCTTCCTCTTCAGAAGATATATTATTGAAGTCGAACTAATGGGACCGGTTTTGCGTATTATTGTATGGTATCATCATTAACACGTTTCTTATGCAAACATAAATATTATTAACCAGTAATGTTTGGCCGGCCATTCCGGTAGAAAAAATAATCTATCTATTATAAGTAACTGCAAATTGTTGTACACACAAACTAATTGCCTATAAGTTTAAAAAAATTATTTAATCATTTCAAGACTTTTCTAACACTCTATATATCAACTACGTCTTTAATTACATTATTATTTCGCTCATGAGCAGAACATTGACCAAAGTTAATGATACTTACGTAAATAGATATTTACTGGTTGCTTTAATACTCGAGTATTACATATTATCCCGTTCGTTTCCAATTTATAAACACCAAATTGCCCAAAATCCTGTTTAATTCCACACACAAAATCATCATTATCAACAGGATGTGTAGCACCAACTTGTGTATTTAATAACCTATATATTGTTTTAAATCTTGTCTTTAATTTTATTAATGTGCTTCCAGATGGTACAGCTATGAATTTTTTATAGGGACACTAAAAGACTTTAACTAAAATAAATGTTTATGAATAAAAATTTTTTACCTTTATACATTCACTTATTAACTCATATATGTAAATACTATTTGGACTAGAGTTGATTATTTGAAGGAAAGCTTCATCCATTCGAAGACTACTCATATCAAATCCTTCGAATTCATCCGGATTATCAATCATTTTATTAATATATGACATTTTTAATGAAGATGTGTTGGGTGATAATCTGTAACTGACACTTAAGTGAAATGAGTAAGTAAACGAGTACGAGTTTGAACATAAATAAGAAAATGCTTTACATTTTTTCTATATTCATAATAATTCATTTACATAGAATATCAATTATCGCATTCAATTACGCACACTCACCAAGTACGTAAACATCAATGAGATAAAAATATTTTCAAGAATCTGATGGATTCATGAAACATGGCATGTAAAAAACGCCATGGCATGTAACCAGTTGCAGCTTATAATTTTATATAGTTATCAGGTAATTACACACATGAGCAAAATTGAAAAATCAACTTAGTTTATGATTACTTACTTTAAAATGTATGCATGAATGTATTCCAGTTAAAAATATCGAAAAACAAAATAACAAAACGGTAACTTGAACAATAAAAAGAACTTGAACCGTATGAACCGGCTTAACATTTGGTTATATACTAGATTATTGTACACAGTAGAAAACTTTCACAAATAATCTCCCACTCTTTGCACCGAAAACGAGTTGTTCGGCAAACTGTTATAAAACAGCCTTGCTGTTCTAAATATAAATTCTAACCACCGAGCAATATAAGAGTTTTTATTGTCCCGCTCTTGATATCTTTTAATGATAGGTATGTTATCAACCAAATGACAATGAACGTGTTTTTATCAATACTTTCAATAAACTCATACATTTTCACCAATTTTTGGATTAAAGTTTTATTTATATATTTTTTAGTTTTATTATTATTTAAACTCACATTTAAATGTGTTAGTTATAATTTTATTTGTTGTTTAACCTTTTTAACATTCTAGGTGAAGGTAAACTTGATACAATTTGTTATATTTGTCCTCGATATAATTCATTGTTATCATCAAGTGGGTATAAATTAACATAGTTTCTTGATAAAACCGTCAAGACGATAAAAAATACGATTTAATCGATAATACACAATTTAGATATCGTTTATTTCCTATTATAAATAAATAATAAATACATAAAAATTCATAACATCTTTCAAATTTAATTTTCTTACGTATACAATACAATTATTTCGCAAATTAAGTATAATTAAGTAATTGCCGCTATTTATCGAACACTTATCACATATATTTACAATTATTACTAAATCGTACGATTATTCGCTAATTATAAACATTAATATTATAAAGTGTGGCGAAAAATCGTGGAAAGGACGGAAGTCGACGATTTTTCGCCATCTGAAATTAAAATAAATGAAATTACAACGACACTTACTCTGGAAAGTACGTTAATCTTATTTTATAAAAGTTTTTCTTATTATACGCGTATTAATGTTGAACGAAATTGAACTTCTACAGCATCTACATTACGTCAAGATCAGTATGTTGCTGATGTAAATGATGATGCTGCATATCAACTGGTGGACTATCCAAATGGTGCTAAAACCATGTAATAATTTTATAATAAATAAATAATTTTTTAAATAAATTACCATAATTTCTTCTTGGTAATTGTGATTTACTCCATTAGTAGGTGGTTGTCTTCTTGGTGGTTGCGGAGGATTTATGGGTATATCTAATATGGCAGGGACATATGTAACTCCTGGTAAACATTTTGAACATTGTCTTCTTAAAGCAGGTCTTTGACGAGATCCTCTACATCGGAGAGCAAAACATAATTCACCTCCCATTTCGGAACATAATGATTGATGAGGTGAAGATGGAGATCTCTAAAATTTGTAAAAAATATAATAAAGGTTGCGTTTGAAATTCGATTTTTCACCTTTTCAGCTAATGCATTTTTCTTAGAATTATAACAAAACTCTATTATAGCTACGATTACAGCGAATGCTAATCCACATAACAAAACAACAAAAACTCCTCCTATATTGTCAACACCTAAAGAGTTCGCTTTAGATTCCTTTCCTTTTTCATTCCTGGTACAGGTTTCTCCGGTATTTTTCCACCATTTATCGTATAAAAGTTGTATTTCGCCTTTTTCTTGTAGCTCTAATATAGCCAATGATATTTTATCTCTCCAAGGACTTCCCATCGGAGTTGCAATTCCGTAACCTTTCGAATCCAAAAGTCCACCAATTTGGGTTAAATTACAATCTCTTTGGACGATGTAATCTAACATTGTTGATTCCATTAAAAACGCGTAATTTCCTTCTAACACTCTTTGTATTCCTTCTTCATACGTAGGGACAAATACTGGCGGTTTTCTATTTTCCATGAATCGCCACATTTTTTTGTAAGTTTCAATCATTGAATCCTAAAAATTTAAAAAAAAAATTAAAATAATATCTGTTATACCAGTTTACGTGGTTTTAGATACAAGTTCTCGAGATTGGAGCAAATATGCTATATCTTTACAACATACTGTACATGTTATTAGCTTTCTTTGTCGTGCTTGCGTGTTGGACAATGAGATGGTATTACACGTATTATTGGACGCCCAACTGTAAATAATTTACGATTAAGCATTGGATGAGTTTGGTCAGAATTATGGACGCATCCTTGATGTTCAGAAAATACTTAGACTGTTTGATGTGACTGGTCTGCCTGTTATCGAAGTCATATAAAGGGCTTAGGTGCTATGTGCTCTTAAGAATGCCTAATTCAATCCTACATAGAGACACAAGAGTCTTTTTCAAATGATAATTCTCTTTGTTTTGACAATATAATATCAATTAGACGTTAAGAAAACTTAACATGGACGGAAAAGCCCAATTAAAGAAGGTTTGGGCTTTTGCGTTCATTCTCTCTTAGCTCAATTACTATTAAATTACGATTTAGTTCTTTCAAAAACTTTACAGAAAAGCCCATATCTGAAAAAACTTCAGTTTACCATTTTGTGAACAAAATAAACCCAAATAAACAATATGCCAAGAATATGTACATAACAGACCAGTGGGTCCTTTCGACAACTTTTTATTTTAATTTCGGCAAGTTCCATGGCTTGGAATTACACTTTGGGAAGATGTTTATTGTTTCGTCATAAAACCAGGTTGCACTATTATGTCAGTCTCAAGCAAACTTACTTAGAAGAGATTAGTATTGTGTGGCAAATTAGAAGATCTCTCGCAAACTACCTTGGGTTAATTGTGGCAAATCATACATTTTTTATTCTAAAGCTGGAATAAAACGTAACATGCTTGAATGAAATATTTTATTCCAGAATGGTGTTAGATAAAAATCTCACATTTTTTAATACAGTTTAGTTTTGATATTGACTCGGTATCGATGTAGCGCTTGAAGTAAATTAACGAATGATATCAAATAAACAGCATTCTTCAAAACTATTCATCTGTCCAAAATTATATTGATAATCTGAAATATTTTTATTGTATGAATATTGACAACGCAGCGCAAATTACTTTGTTCTCAAGAGCTGGAGTCAATTAAACAAATTTATTTTGAATATAGGTGTCGAAAATACCGAAAGTCAACTCTCAAATACATCAAAGTAGAATAATTGTCCACAATTTAAGTGTTACAATTTTGTGAATTTATGAATACATTGTAACAATAAAAGGTTTTTTTTATTGCAAAAATCATTTGCATTTTTTACATAAAGTTTGTGTAAATGTTTTCGACTCTACGGTTTAACGGAAATTCATTGCAATCGGTGAGGTCGATTTCAAATCCACATCAGTATACCGATACAGTTTTGCTAGAAATTTACTTGTGCTCGAAAACAATTAAATAAAATTGTATTAAATTTAAATACAATAACAGGCAAATGTATTCATATCGTGGAGTTAATTATATTTTTACCAATTCTATGAATTATTTTCTGTGATAATTGCCATGGTTTGGAAAATCTGGGAAAACTCATTGTGGATAAATGGTGTGTCATAAAATTTTAAATACTTAAAAATTTTACTTCATTAAATAATTGGAATTGATAGCAAAAATTCGTATCTAAAATTTTATCTCAATTTTGACTTACTCTAAAAAATGTCATGGTTGATCCACTATCCAAAGTTCCATATGGAATATCCGTTTGGCCAGCTAAATCTTCAGCATTTTCAATTGGAGTAATCATTCTTTCAACGGTTAAAAATGCCGCCAAATTGGCAGTGTACGAAGAGATTATTATTAATGTAAAAAACCACCAGATCCCACCAACTATCCTTGTTGATGTCGCCTATTTTCAATAAAAAATTAATTCACAATATACAATAACATAAAATAAATAACTGTTTTTTATCAACAACTAAACCCATTGCTTTCATTTATTGGAGTTTCGTCCAAGGTACTATGTACAATTAAACAAGCACCATTCAAAAAGTTCCAAACTTCAAACAAATAATGAAATGTGCTAAAAGGATGGAAACTAAACGAAACAAAGGTGCTTATTCATGCAGGTACCTGAATAGGCTAGTTGGTGATAAATAAACAGTACAACGGTTCGAGTGCTTATTTAATGGACATGGTACCTTTGGATTCAAGTCCGATCCTTGTTGCATCAGAGTACCGATAGTGAACCAAAACGAGTTTGCAAGTGAAAATTGATTCTCGACCGTTTCGTTTTCGATTTCACACGGATGCGGATTGTGCCATTCGTACGGTGAAAATCGCGCAACAACAAACATCGTTAAGGACACTAAAATATACGCCGACAATACGTATAACCAAATATCCATTGCCAGCGGATTCATAAACGAAAATAATCGTGTTTGTTGACTTGTAGGTACCTAATGTAAAATAAAAAGATTAATTAGCGTTTTTTGTTTTATTTTTAAATTAAATACACAAAAACAAAATTAAATACCGATGATGATAAATTATCCTTTAGACGAACTTTGATACTGGAATTTTAAAGTGTCTGGAGTTTTTGTGAGAGGTTTAATTGGTTTTTAATTAGGCCCCTTAGCACGGACGACAAAAACGTTTACCCGTAAGACTCAACAATCACGTTAATTTTCTTTTAGACAGGATTATCGTAATTACAGAGTTTCGATTGTGAGTAAGCAATGAGTTTGTTGTTAAATTTTTCCTTTATCTTTACCTGGGGATTAACACCAGACGCTTGTCGCAGTAATGTACCGGTAATAAACCAAAAGCTATTCGACATATTGAAACCATTTACTAAATAATCTTGTTGTCTCCACGGTATTGGTTTCACCCATTCATACGGACTAAATCTTGCTAATGTAAACAACGTAAAACTTGCCATGAAAAACGCACCGAACACGAATATCCATATATCAAAACCCAAAGGATTGAGGAACGTAAAGAATGCTGATTCTTTAACGGTGGGAACCTATTTAAAATTTTTTAAACACTCATTCTTTGTACTTGCTCGTGGAATTTTAAAATAAGTATTATAAAATAACGTTGAAATTTAAACACATCATAAACTTACCTTAAATAAAATGCTGATACCAAGATTCATAAATGGCTTCGTAAAGTCAATAACACTTTCTCGCGCATAGTTGATGGTCATTGATCCCACTGCTAAATCTGCACGCTATAAAATATATATTTCTCATTTTAATAACGTCAATATACATAAACATTACGGATAACGATGTAAGTTTGCCGCTACATGTCGCGTTATGTTATGGTAATATCAGATATTATGAACACATTTGGACTGCATATACCATTTGCGGAGATACATCGCTATCCTATTTTAAATCGTGCTTTTTCCTCTACGATAAAGAAATAGTCTGAAAGTGGCTTACACTTAACTTTTTCGTGTTTAGATTTCAATGGGAGACTTGTAGAAATGGCGAAACGCCATTAATCAATTCGTTTTTTCAAAATACTCTTATAAATAAAATTGTAATTTATCTATTTTTGCGAGTCAACCCAAATTTATTATCTATTTTTTTATGACAATCTCAAATTGCATATTTAGTGTGTTTCGGATAGTTTTTTTAAAAAATCTTATATTTACCAACCAGAGGTAGTTAAATTTCAGGATAAACGTAAGGCAAAAGTTATTCCTCCATTATCTACTACTCCTTCTATCTTTACAATAAGGGTAACAATTTTGCATACTTGATGGCTTTTAAAAGATTATTTGTTCCAAATTGTTCTTGCTTATGATCCTTCAAGGGGATGTCATAAAGACTATGTGATACGACTCTATGTAATGATATCAGATTTATAATAGACACCATGAATGCCAAGATCGGTAAAGAACAGCATCTTATGGGTAGCATGCGAATTTCTGATAAACTTTGCATAGTGTAAAAATATGATACATTAAGGTATGTGGTTCTTACTCGATGGAGGTACAATCAAATATGTTATGATCTGATAGTCAGAAGGGCAGCAAGCAGTATGTTGGATGTAAAGACACGAAGAGGAGCACACATATCTTGTTACAGCCGAAGTTCAGGTACAGAATAAGGAACAATTGGACCAGCGACAACTAATTAACAAGTTGAACGTAGAGAAACTGAAATGCCCAGAAATGCAAGAGAGTTTCCAAAGGGAAATTACTGGAAAGTTGACAGAACAAGAACTAGATACAGAACCAGTAGAAGAGATAATCCACATTATTAAGGTTATGTTACAAGCTCAAAATATACCAAATTATGATGGCAGAATAACATTTAATGGGGTATACATTTCAATATCAACACTACAACATTTGGATATAAGGATTAAAGGTAATAGACTATATAACGCTTAAAAAATTAAAACTGTTTAGACATAAATTAAAAGTATAATTCTTATGATTAATATCAAACATAATATGTCAAACGTCAAAACACTCAAAACATGAATTTCAATTAAATCATCTTTTAAGAACACTATTTCATCAATTCTTCATTTCAAAATCGAAAAGTTGAATCGCAAGTATGTCATCGTGTTTATGTCCTAAAGATCCCGACAAGCACAAACCAAAGGCAAAGACAAAGAATGAAAATGGTAAAAGTAAAAATTCAAAAATCGAATTCTGGGAAAAAGTTCTTAAAAAACATGCGTTACGCTTGGAACAGATGAAAACACAGAAATCCCAGTTATGTGATAGTATAAAAAAATTGCAGCAGCAATTACCTTATACTTCATCTGTAACGTGTATGTGCGCATCATGCCCTATGACAATTCCTTGTAATTATCCTCAAAATTTATACTCATTTAACTATTCTAAAGGCCCACAGCCGAACAACATTGGATTATCGGATAATACAAAAAAATCGTCATGTATGTGTGGAGAACAAGTTAAATCGGAAATGAAAGAGAGAGACGAACAGAAAGAGAGAGACGAACAGAAAAAAAAGCGAAAATTAGAACAAGAAAAACCACAAGCGAAAACAGATGATAATAATCAATTACGGATATGTGGTTGTGGTGTTTGCAATGGCAAAGTTGTCGAAACAATACCACACTCAAATAAAGACGATCCATTTCCTCCAATTGGTAATGACCACTTGTCGGATTGTAATTGTAAAAGTTGCTGTGAAAAAGTTCTACAAAAAATCATGGATTTAGATAAAGACGCACCACCCCCTATAATTATAAAACCTACAGTTGTACAAAAAAGAAATATTTTTCAACCAGCATGCGATTGTGTAACATGTACCGAAAAAGTGCATAAACGAATTGCAGAATTAGACGGAAAACCCATTGCAGATGAAGATGAATCAGCAAAAGATGATTCGCCAAAAGCTAAGGGGGATATGAATTGTGCTTGTGAAGAATATATTTCGGAAATAACTCGGAAATTCAAAGATATGAATCGAGGAAGTCCCGAAAAGAGCAAAGAAGTAAAACAAGCGAATCAATCAACAATGAAGAAAGAAGACGGGAAATGTTATTGCAATAAAGCAGTTGGGCCACAATCTGATCGGCCATCAACAATAAGTGGAATGGTTTATAATATTTTAACGATGCCTGAAGATTTTCCAAGACAGCGTCCTACCTCATCAGGTTTTCCGGAGGTAAAGTTTAAAGTTGATAGAACCGGAGATTTTGGACCGAATAACGAAATTCTTCATAGTAAAACCGAACAAATAGGTCTTCATTTGGAATTATTGCACGAAGAATCAAATCAAGATGTGCAAGTTTTTAAATTGGTGCAAGCCAGCTATACAACTCCAAGCGGATCAGAACCAAGTGTTTTTAGCTTTTCTATGCATGCACCTACGGAAAGTGCGGACGCTGTATCGTATCATGACTTCAATGGAAATCTTCTAGATAAATTTAAAAAGATAGGAATGGGGTTAGAATTAATACATGAGGACCCAACTTCGAATACTTTCAATTACAAATTATTTAGTCAAGAAAATATTAAGACAAGTGGTGACATTGAAAATAAAGGTACCAATAGGATTGATAAAGTTATATCTGATGTAGAGAAATTAAAACAAGGTTTAGCAGTTATCGCCTGTAAATGTCCAGGGAGTGGAAATGATCAACACTCTTTCAAAACTGATGTGACTCAAACGGAGGATGAAAATGTGGGAACAGATATGGAAACAGATATGGGAACAGATATGGGAACAGAAGTAATAGATGAAGGCGTTGGAGATGATACAATTGATTGTGGTTGCGAAGCAAATATAGTGCCACAAACTCAACTTACAATGTTTAAAGAAAATGATATGATAAACATAGATACAAATACCGAAAGTGAAAATCGTCTTGTACCCGTTGTAAATAATTCGATGTGGAATTATGATGAACATATTGAATGTAATTACGGGGAAATGATAAAAGCAATGCATCGATTAACAGCAGCAATAACAGAACAAAATACTAAACCTCTAATAGTATGCTCAAAAAATATCAAATCCATAATGACGGATTCAATAAATGATATAAAATCGGCAAATAACAATACGACAATTGTATGTACCAACAAAACATTTGGAATATCCTGTAATCTTGATAATTATAATAATTTTATTAAAACTGAAATAGTGGGAGAAAACACCAATAGAACTATAAGTCCATCTTGTTGCCCTTGCAACACAGTAGAGGACGAAAGAATAGAAAAAATAGGAGATAAAAACAGAAACTTTTCCCAATCGATTTGCGTTTGCAGAGGGACATCTACAGAATTAATTGAAATATTGGATAAAATGGTTCAAGGTAAATGCGCAATTAGGGTTGGAGATGGAAAAACTGTAAATTTAATAGGAGGGGTTAAGTTATCTGAAAAGGGAGCAGAAGGGAATAAAATAACTGATGAGATGAAAAAAGCTTTTGCAGAATTAAGAGAACAGCACAAGAGCTTATGTGCATATATAAATAGGTTGGGAGGTTTTGATGATGGGTCTAAACGATTAAAAAATAAATATAATCTCAATGATATCAAGATGGATACAAGTAAAGCCGACAAATTAGTAAATCTCACATTGCAAGACTTAATTCAAACTTCAATGGTTTGTGCTACAATTGATCATTCAAAAGATAAAAATTTGATGAAGCAGATTGATAAAGATGATAACGGAAAGAAGGAGGAAACAGTTACTATAGAACATGATGAACCATTAGTTACTCCTATTGAATCTCTTGATGTATTAAGGGAGAAGGTACTTTCAATAGGTGATGATAAAACTAATATAACGTCTACCTGCAGTTGTCCAATAACATCAGCAAGTAGAAGTGGTATTACAAAAATTGTATCCGATATAGTATCAATTGCAATGAATGAATCTCAAAGTAAAGATAATGAAGACGCGAAAATTCAAGCAGAACATAAACCGATTGCGAAACAATTATTGCGTAATAAACAGGAAACTAAATCCTGTCAGGAATTTACTGAGGGAACAATATTTACTATAGAAGATAGCGAACCATACGTCGCTTCTATTGAAACTCCTGATATAAGGACGGAGAAGATATTTCCTTTACAAGAATTAAAAAAATATAACGAAACAAATTTAAATCAAATACCATCACTTAATGATAGCAAAGCTAATAATAAAACTAATATAACGCCGATATGCAATTCTTTAAAACAAAGTGAAACTGGGCCATATCTAACAGCACAGACTTCGTTCAGTTGTCCAATAACATCAGCAAGTAGAAGTACTATTACAAAAATTATATCCGATATAGTATCCAACGCAATGAATGAATCTCAAAATAAGAATAATGAAGACGTGAAAATTCAAGCAGAACATAAACCAATTGCGAAACAATTATTGCGTAATAAACAAGAAAGTAAATCATGTCAAGAGTTTTCTGTGGGAAAAATAATTACTTTAGAAGATAGCGAACCATTTATTGCATCTATTGAAATTCCTGATATAAGAACAGAGAAGCTATTTCCTTTACAAGAAGTAAAAAATTTTAATGAAACAAATATGGTTAATGATGGCAAAACTAATGATAAAACTAATATAACGCCGACATGCAATTCTTTAAAACAAAGTGAAACTGGGCCATATCTAACAGCACCGACTTCGTTTAGTTGTCCAATAACATCACCAAGTACAAGTACTATTCCAACAATATTATCCGATATAATATCTACTGCAGTAAATCATTCTCAAAATAAAGATAATAAAGCTACAATTATTAAAGCAGAATCAATTACGAAACAATTAATGTGTAATAAAGGAGAAATAAAATCATGTCAAGAACTCACTAGAGGAAGAACAATTACTTTAAAACACGACGACCCGTTATTTATCCCTGTTGAAAGTCTTGATATAAGCACGAATAATATGCGTTGTTTGCAAGAAGTAATAAAACATAATGGAACGAAGTTGTATGCACAAGAATATCAAATACCATTCTTTGACAGCGAAATGGCTAACGAAAAAATTAATAAAAAGACGATGAAACAAATTGAAACTAAACCTTACGTAACTGTACCGAATTCATTCAATTGTGCAATTACATCAGTAAGCCGAAATACTATTCCAATAATAACATCGGGAAATGGGAGTAATAAAGATGCAAGTATTCAAGTGGCCATTAAATCGTGTAAAGAGTTTACAGAATGTAAGGCAAAGGAAGAACTTACATATCATTTTAAAAATGATGGAATAATTGATACAGATGTAACATTCGATTGTGTTGGAGTATGTAATTGTGGTATAGATAAAACCTGTTCTTGTAAAAATGAAATTTTGTCTGAAGAAATTGATACAAAAACAGAGAAGGTATTTTCTTTATGTCAAGACCCGCCATGTGATGGTGATAGGGTTTATAAAAACGCAAATATAATAGCGACTTGCAGTTGCATATTAAAACCAACAGAAACACAACGTCATTTAACTATCCCGCCTTCTATTAGTTGTCCAATTACATCGGAAGTCGGCGCTAATAAAATATCCGAGATATCACATACTGAAGATGCGAGTATGCAAACAAATCAACAACCGATTATTAAAAAATTAGTGCTTACTAAGGAGATAATAGAAGGTAAAGAATATTACACATTTCATATCGATGATAGCAGTATTCACTCATGTCAACAGCTGACTGGGTGGACACCAGATGGCGACATGGCATATCAAAAAATAATACCTTTAGAAAGCCAAGATAATGAAAAATGTGATTCTGCTGCAATATGTAGTTGTGATGGGGGATGTAAATCCTCTTGCTGTAGAATTGAAAAATATTCGTCTGACTTAAGCAAAACTGCACAAAAACAATTAGGTACAATAACAGCGGATTCAAATGAAGTATGTCAAATACCACCATTTGATGGCCCCAACGAAGAAAACCTGAATATAAAGGTGTATTGCAGTTGTATTTTAAGACAAAGAGAAATCGAATCTTATCAAATTCCGAAATCTAGCAGTTGTCCAATTAAAATATCAAACGAAAATACTCCAAGTTCAGAAATATTATCAGAAATACTATACATTGAAACACAAAGTGAAGACGCGAGTATGCAAACAGATAAACAATATCACAGAAAGGGATGTCCCGCACTTCGCGAACAATCCGTTGCTGAGTCTGCACCATGTAAATCTAATAAACGAATAGAAAAACCTCACGGAAAGTCAGATGGATTTTGCTGCTGTAATAAAAGGAAAGAAAGGAAATCGAAGAAAAAAGGAAGAAAATCAAAGCGTACATGTTCTTGTTGTACTTGTAAAAGCGATAAATCTAGGAAAAATAAAAAGAAATCAAATAGGAGCAACAACAAAAAATCTCGTAATCGGGGGGAAAAAGATAAAGGTAGTAAAGAACGGTGTATAAAGGCGGTGTGTGATTGCGTTCCAAGAAGGTTATCAAATAGTTCCACTTCAAGTTCTAGCAGTCAAAACGAAAAACGAAACTGTGATTGCACGGCAAAACAAGCTTCAAATAATTTTTGTACTAGGTTTTGTTATAATCCATGTTATAATCCATGTTATAATCCATGTTATCAAGGTTTCGCCGCAGCACAATTACTAAATACAATTTTACTGATGTCTTCTAGATTACCTGTATGTAGTTGCGAACAAGAAAAAAAATCATTATGTACGACTGCTGTATGCACATGTGATTTATCAGACGCCCAATGCGAACCGTGCAGTACTCAGATTTCTGCGAGTGATTTATATGGTGTGATTGCTGATTTAGCAGCTCAAGGAAGAAAAACTTCGATTGATGCAGAGAGTCAGTATTGCTCTTGTGACACGACAGAATTCACCAAGTCACCGTCGACATTAACGTGCAGCTGTGTATTGGAATCATCTTCTCCATTACGTTCATCTGCATTGGATAAATGTAAGGATGAAGACACAGTTGAAATGTCACGGTCATGTACCTGTAGTTCGTCAACATCTTTTTCTGGTACTGAAGTAAATGTACATACTGAGATAAAGATACAAGAACTCGGTTGTGATCCTACAATTCTTGTTCCATACGTTATTTATGAAGAAAATGCTCTAAGTGAAGGTTCAGAAATAGTTGATAACGTTCCTGAGCAGACTGATTCGGTTCATGATTCAATATACGAATCAACCGGTACGGTATGCATATGCGAAACAGATTGTCCTCCGTGTCCTATACACACTCCACCACCACCACCACCACCTTGTTGTCAAGGTTGTGGTTGCTATAAGATTAATGCCGGCGAAGTACCCAATGGTGATGCAAGTTCAACAACAGACACCTCTTCATGCAAATGTTATTTAAGCGATTCAACTTCCAGTGATACCGCCTCCTCAATAGATACAGATCCATCATGTAAAATTAAATATCATCCACATCCTAATTGTTGCAAGGTGTGGATGAGGTAAAGATATCTACAATAAATCTAGATACGTTTGACGGCATGAAAGATTGATTGAACATGTGACATACTTCAATAATTAAAAAATGTCATCCTCATTGAAAGAATTACCTAAATTTCTGAAAAATATAACTTACTGGTTCTTGATTTACTAGCTACATCCTGCAAAAATGCCTCCTTGTACCTGTGGTGGCAATACAGATTCGAAAAGTACCTCAAAAGCTAAATCTGCATTCTGGGAAGCGATAATTAAAAAACAAGAAGAAAAATTGGATCGTCTGAGAGCTCAGAAGTATGAAATATGTTCGAGAATTAAGGAATTACAAGCGAAGTGTTCCCCAACATTTTTTAATACACAACTCAAAGCTATTGATGCAGCGTGTAGTTCGCAGGACAAAAAAGCTTCTAAATCAGGTTGTCAATGTTCTGAAGAATCGTCGGAATCCTCGGAGTCTAATGCTTGCCGTTGTACTCCTGATCCTCCAAAGAGTGAATTAAGTCTGTGTTGCTCTTGTAATAGTTCTGTGGAAAGTGTTGCGGCTAATTGTTGTAATTGTGAAAATTTTACAACAAACCCATATCAAGAAAAACGGGAGCAATACCAATCCAGTGTGCCACAATCGAATAACTGTATTTGTACAATCTCCGAAATAAAAAGCTCTTTCAATACGTTTTTAGCAAAAGGTGCAAAAACACCACCAGAGATTAGAACTGATCCAAACAGCTGTTCATGCACTCCAACACCGTCTGATCTAACGTCTTGTACCTGCACTATAACTCCAGAACAAAAAATCTCAGATAATAAAATAAGCAACCAAAAAGATCAATATAACGCGCAAGACCAAAAAGATGAGTCAGGAATGCCTTGTATATGCGGACTATGCGATTTAATAATTCCTAATTTCCCAACAATTGATGCCACAAAAAAAACCTCAGGTACGGCTGAAGAACTTTTCACCGCTAAAAATTTCAATCGGCAATCAAGTAACAAAAAATCTAGTTCTAAAGCAAAAGATACTTCAAAAGCGTATTGTTGTAGCTGTGATAAAACAGTATCTAAACCACCACCTGACGTTGGTGACGTGCCCTTTAAAAACACATCAGTCGGTAAACGTCAAATGAGTACATCTGCAAGACCAATCTCACGAGATTCTGCAAAAGGAAAAAGAAAAAGTGCGAAGAAAAAGAATAAATCTTTAAAGCTTTGCTGCTTTTGTGGGGCAGATTTGCCACCTATGGAACCAAATATAACTAATGAAGCAATATGTAATTGTGGTAATACGAGAAATACAACTCCAGCTAGATTACAATGTTTATGTGATTCAAATAATTTACAACAAACATACAAATCTGATAAAATCTGTGATTGTTGTCCTACACAATGCCAAAATAATGTTAATGAACCAAAGGTTGCTGACTTTGAGAAATCAATCATTGAAGCTGTGTGTAAGTGTGATCTAGAAATCGTGGATACACATGATGTAGAAATCGAAGAAAAACCCAGTATGAGTGAGAAATCATGTACTTGCGAACCAATATCTCCACCTGTAGCAAAAGAAGTAGACGATTTTGATGGTTCTTGCGATTGCGATATTACTACCATCGAAAAGACACCTATTGGAGATGTGAATAGTAGTTGTAGTTGTGCAATAGAAGCAGTGGATCAAGAAGTCGTATCTGATGCGACATGTAGTTGTGTCTCGCCATCAAATAAACCAGTTGGAGATGTTGATAGTAGTTGTAGTTGTGCAATAGAAGCAGTGGATCAAGATGTCGTATCTGATGCGACATGTAGTTGTGTCTCGCCATCAAATAAACCAATTGGAGATGTTGATAGTAGTTGTAGTTGCGCGGATAATAATATGGGCCAAGAAAATGATTTAACTGATGGGACGTGTAGTTGTGGTTCTTTACCAGCAAATCAGGAAACAACATTGCAAAATAAACCAGTCGGAGATGGTGATAGTAGTTGTAGTTGCGCGGATAATAATGTGGTCCAAGAAAATGGTTTATCTGATGGGTCGTGTAGTTGTGGTTCTTTTACGGCAAATAAGAATGAGGCATTAAAACAAGGCCAGGACGATGTAAGTAGTTTCGTATCTTGTCTTTGTGACCTTCCACAATTAGAAGAAAATTCACAAAGACAAGCACAACTACAAGAACAAGTAGGAAACAAACGTATAGATGAAAAAATGAAATGTAGCTGCGGTACTCAAATGAAAATTCGACCATCAACTAACAAAAAAGAGTTTTCTAACAAATCAACATGCATTAAGATATGCATTAATAGTTTTACACAAACAGATGAAACGGCACCCAAAGGTAGAAACCCAGTTGCATTTAAAGATTCAAACTTGGAATTGGAAAATTGTAAATGTGGTGTCGGAAATTGGGCACAAACAAAGTATGAAAAGGAGAAAGAAGTTGGTATTCAATCGTGTGCTTGCAGTTCCTCATCATCGGATGAGGAGTCATCAGGAGAAAGTAGTATGACATCACAATCTACAACAAAGTGTAGTTGTGTTTCAAAATCAAATAACTCTGTATCGCAAGAAAGGGCGAGGTTTATAAGTTGTACTTGTAGCACTGTAGCTAGCACGTACGTAGCTGCTTTAGGGCTGTGTGGATTCAATTCTGAGCAGAAGAATAAGGGATCTAAAACCCAAAAGAATCAGCAATTTTGTAGTTGCAGTTTGGACGAAAGCGAAGACATTAGTGACGACGAACAATGTACCTGTGTTGCCATAGCGATTCATAGCTGTAACGAGACGCCTTTTAAAAGAAGCAAAAATCAAGCAGTGTCTACCAAAACGAATGTATGTTCAGAGAAAAAAGGTTTGACGAATTCGCAAAGAAGTAATCAATCTGCATCAAAACACTTGGACACTAAAACACTAAGTTGTCATACAACTGATAGTAAAAAGACTGATTCCTTAAGCATTTGTGCAAGTAAAAGCACACCATCAATGGGGTTCATAAGAAAACAAAAGGAGTCGAAGATATTGTGCAAGAATGTATCAGATATTATGACGTTAGCTGAAGATTTTAAAATATTTCCGAACATATCAAGTGAAACTTTTACTTTATCTGGCTCTCGAAACGCTTTATCAGCAATAGAACTATCTCATGATTATGCTATTCCAAAAATGTACGTAGCAGTGGCCAGAACACAGAACTGCTTTCCTCAAAGTCAGAAGAACTGTAATCAAGGTTGTTGTGTTTGCTTAACTTTAGATAGTCCTTCTGAGATGAAAAACTTCCATACAAACGCATCTAATATACCACTTTTATCATCATTTTGCTTTGATTCACCACTCCGGCGGGGTACTGTTGATAGTGGCTGCTCTCCCATCGAAAATATGCCGTTTTCTAAATACTGCCAAACAAAGCATTCTTCATTACGCAGACATTCCTCAAAATCTCGAAAAAAGAAACCGACAGTATCTTACGCTCAAACAGATTCTCGTTGTTCAGTATGTTCTTGTTCTTTACGGGAAGCTATAGGAAAAGACTTGGAAGATTATGGCATTGTAGAAGATGTTCCCATTAAAGATTGCTATCACGAACGAAAACACAAACGAAAATGTGTTTCGAGCGTTACAAAACAAGATTCAATATGCGATGAAAGTGAAAAATGCAGTAAAAAGGTAATGAAACGAAAATATCCAACTCAAGATATATCAAGAAATCGCCCATCTGGTAATGACTCGAAATCATCGTGGTATAATCAATATGATTGGAAAAATAGGTGGATGCCATCACAAACTATTGATCAAGAATTGGACAATTATCCGACTAAATTGGATAAAATATTGAATATTTTTGGTGATATATCGAAAGATATTATGGACCCAAGTGATTCTACCGCTTCAATATCAATTCTTTTCTAGCAAACGAGATTGTAATATTCAAGTTGTAACATCAAAGTATTAATATATGTGGAGATTTAGTACACAATTTTATTTGTATTAAATCCACAGATGTAGAATTAAAGAGAGAACCAGCTTATCTCTGTGTTTATTTTATTAAATATATTTATATTATAGTTATATCAATGTGTCACTCAACATTAAAAAAAAAACGTTTTGAACTACACAATTATTTCGCATGATCACTATCATTATTGTCTTACTTTGCTTTTTAACAGAGGTTATGTTTGCCATCAGAAATCGTACTAGTTGATGTATTGGAATTGATATTTCCTATTTTGAATAATAATGGAATAGTTGTGAGTCATTTAAACGAAGGTTTAATCCATTTTCAAGCAATCTTAATAATTTTGAACTATTTCGCCAAACTGTAATAATTTTTCAATAAGTTTTCATTGATTTAGATAAGTTTTTAAATATTTCCAATCACTTTTGAATCACTTTGCAAAGATATAAACTTGTTTTGAACAATTTTAGATGCAATTATTGCTCATTTTAAGCAACTTACAATTGATGGAACAAATTCTCAATCATTTAGACAAGTTTCTAATGATTACCAACCAGCTTCCAATGATCTTGAACAACCTAATACAGCTATGAATTTCGTCAAATGGAGGAATTGTCAAAAAACGTTCCTAAACTGGTAGAGGTTTGCATAGCGTCTTATTTAAACTGGAAAGGAGAACGTTGAGAGCAATATAGTCGGCTTTTGATACCTTCGTCGTCTAGCAAAACGGTAAACACTGTGTCCAGAATATTTGTCAAAATATTTAAACCTAATAATGAAATCAACATTGTGGGTTGAATGTGTAACCAATGTTAGCCAACTTAATATACTTAACTTCTAATGTACAGAAGAACTAATTTGAGGTTAGTAGTACACAGTTATCTTACTATGTGGTACAAAGATTATGTCTGTTAGAAACCTTAAAACATTGAAAGACTTTATTAATGCTTGAAAATAGATCTAACATATTGAGCACTTGTTATGTTCAGAAAGCCCTCATTGAACTTACAAATTTATGACTGTTAATTATCCCACGAAAATGGAAAATCTAATTAGGAGATCGCGTAAACGTAGGACAGGAAATTAATTTTAGGTTAAGGAACGATTTACGGGTTCATTACTGAGAGGTCGCGAGTACCCTGTAATTACTATCGATTCCAGAGATAACCCCCGCACATATTTCAGTAATCTCGATATTAATTTTTTGATTTTGGGGAAGGGTAAGTTTAGATCTCCATCGATAGCTTGGCTATGTAGATAACTTTACAGCATCGTCCTAGTTTCGGGATATCTCTATCTCGATCGAAAGCCCTTTTCAAATTACCACAGTGCCATTTCAATACATCTGAGTATAACCACAGGTAATTTGCGTAACATCTGATAAGAACTTTGGAATTAATCTTGGTTTCGCGTCCCAAAGGAAATTAGTTTGTTTGTTAGTTTCCAGCTAATCAAGTATAATGACACCGATAGTGATACAATCGAATCACGTTGATCTAGGATCTATAGAAAGATAATTTAATTCTTTAATGGTAATCTTACATATTCCTGAAGTGTCATACTGAAGTAATTTTATAACCTTCGGTTGGTGTAAAATCTTTCCTTTTTATTTTCAACTTTTCTGTCTTGCAATCCTACGTTACCACAGGGTTTCATTTAAATATTCATTGCACTTATACAGCAGTTGCGAGTTGCTGCACCTAAGTTACCTACTTTTGCATATGTTATGTCGTTCTTTTCTCGTTAACTTTACAGTTGTAAGTAACGTAATGCCCTATGGGGGTAGTTCACTAAATCAATATAGAAATATGAACTAAATGCATCCTAGAAATCCTATCATCCTAAGTGATTTAATCAATTCTCTTAAAACCAAATTACATCTTTTGGATAGTGCGGTTTTGGTAGAGGAGGTAATTTTGAATGTTAACACATCGGAAATTTTACGGTTATCGCTGTTCAACACCGTTTCCGAAGTACGACAAACTACCTTGTTTCCAACATAATTGAGTCTCGGCGGTTATAGCGCGTAGCGGCAATTTTCTGATAAATCCTGCTATAAACCACTCCTATAAATTCTGTCGACCGAACATACACAGTTCGCAAGCCGCAATATCGAATTTTAAATGCATTCTCAATAGAATATTTGAGTAGTTTGAAATGACATTATAATTTCATTCACATCATAAAACATAAAGTCCCACTATGTTTAATTGGACCGCTTCGTTTTAATTTAAAATTTTAGTTTACAAGTTTTAATTTAAAAAATTGAATTTACAAATTTAATTTATAACTTTTATTTTACTGATTTCAACTTACCTTATCCATAAGTTGTCGAACAATTCCATTCCATTCCCCAGTTTCTAGATCAATAGCACCGTACTTTCCATCCGGAACTAACTCTATACGATATTCAAATCCTACCATTTGAGCGATACCTTTTAACAGGTCTATGCAGAAGCCTTCATATCGAGCATTTCCAGATAAATTGGACTGGTGTCTCAGCATTACATACGGTTGTTCCTATCGAATGTGGTAATTACATTGAGGTTGCAATTGAGTTAGCCAAATGAACTACGCTACTTTTTTCGAATGTACGATGAATACGTTGAAGGCATGTAATTTAACAACGACTTCATTAAAAGTGCAAATCAATTTTAAGCATTAATGGATTTCAAATTTAACATGAAAGTGCTGAGTTAAAAATATTTTTAGGCTAAACTTTATTAACAAAAGCAAAAAAGAAGTGGATTCATTGGTAATGTTATCTTGCCTATATACCACAACTTTGTTTGGTAAAAAAGCAAAGCTAGCATAAAAAGCTAGGATGATAAAAGAGGAAATGAGTACATGCAAGATAAGCTCCTGTACAATCCCGTTCCATTCTCCAGTTTTCTGGTTTCTGACGCCGTACTTTCTATCTGGGACTAAATCCAGTAAATAGTTGAAGCCGACATCTTTCGATATGCGCTCCAGTATGTCCACACAAAACCCGTAAAACCGTCCATTTCCTGTATAATTTTTGCCGAGGTGCATCATAACGTACGGCGTTTCCTGTTGGGCGGAAATAAAAGAGGTGACATGCCAGGTGCACCGAAAAATAGAGGTCACAGGCAGCAAATCTCTCCCTACAGCTCTCTAAACTGAAAATAAACGTTCGTGCGCACAACAAAACGGGTACATTGTCACGAAAGTCGTCGTTCGGTAAGCTTTGTTCGATAAATTGCAAGTTAACCGCGTGGAAAATATTTTGATTCACATTCTTTATTTTATTTCAACATTCTATTCAAAATTGCAAGTGAAATACGATGACTTTTATGACATTACGAATAATTTTACGTATCAAAAACATCTTACCAAAATCGTGGTGACGATAAGGGTAACATTCATGGTTCCTGGATCAAAGAAAGCGGCCCGGTCGGTGACGTTAACCCCTGCCCCTGGGTTCCATTCACCGACCTTGACGATCGCGTGCTGCTTCAATTTCAGCAGGTCCAGTTTGAACTGGATGCGTCGACCTTCTTTGAACTCTATCGGACCGCTCAGGCCTCTGAACTCCACCTGTAAACAGGTTAATAGAATATGAATGAAGAGCGCCCAAGGGCGACTCTTGGAAGTTACAGCCTGTACATTCCGTCCGTATTCGCGAATGCACACTGTTAATGAAAAACGAACAGATTGAAGGATGGAATTGAAAGCAATACTGATTATGTTACATTTCCCGTTATATTCGTGATAGGGAAGGATACCAATTAGCTAGCTGTTATTACGATTCGTTGAATTTAAGCGAAATACAGTGAATGCAAAAGGAAGGGACTGAAATGTTATGAAATCCCGTTCCTGGAACGAAATTTAATTTACGTGTTTCAAGCGTGTTGCAAATACATCTATTTAAAGCATTTTAGTATAAATGTGGTCCATGATTGATCTAATAATTACATATACTAATTCAATAATAATATTGTATATATTGGAGACTAAACAAGAGTTAGATGTAATCAAAAAAATGAAACTATGATACCCACTATGTATACCCACCGTTACTTAATACGTATTTTTGAACTGTCGGAGAAGATATACTGTTGTATAGCAGGTGTAAACAGATAAAAAGGATGAATACGTTATGTATTGAATTGTTGAGGTGTCTGACTTTTATGTAGAGAAGATTACTGCTTTTGAAAAATCTTTGCAAAAATGCATTGGTAGGATAAAACTGGTTGATGCGATTCTAACATCTGTTGAATATCTAAAGCACTACTCCACACAATATAAATACTCTAATAAATTATTGTCGGGTATTTCAAAAAAGAGGTGGTGATTTTAAGTATGTGGTTTCATAAAATGAAAAGAGTTGATGATAATGAGAAGATTTTCTTGTTGGGGCTTGTTTCTGTCTAGTTAATGGTAGAGCCAAGATGATGGTCTTATTTTGCCACACTTGTAGTTTTTAATAAATTAGGAGATTACTGTTGATGTACTGTTTATATGATAGGACTGTAGCTAGGTTTAGCTATTATTGTGCAGAAACTTTGACAGTTACAGATTGCCCTGCAGAAAATATTGACTACGTGTGCTTAATTGCGCATGAAGTAAGCACACTTAAAATTAACTAATTTTTGCACATTGAAGAAATATATTCTTACAGAAGTTACTCTCTGCCGCTTTTATTAGTGTTGCTCATTTAGAATGCATTAATATTAGGAGTCTTCATTATACCATAACAAATCTAATTATTCATTTTATGAGATTTCGTCGAAGTCATGTGGCATTGCTAATTAAACGTCGTACACCAAGCACTTAATTTATTAAGACTATAAACCGCAGCTACTTGTTCTCTATTTTATCAAATACATAAAGAGAAGGAAATTCTTACTATTATATCGAACTTTCTGTTTAATTAGGACTATCACTATGAATTAATTTAGTAACAATTTATTTTATTAATGACTATGAGTCGGAGTATTGCGTAATAACAGATAGCATTATGGTTATAGTATAGTATTGGATAACTGTTATAAATTCTGTAGTTGGTGGGGAATTAATGGCATTATACGTTCGTAATCGTAACGAATATTGAAATTCAAACACAAGCTGTACAATACCGTACACCGCCAATAGATTCAAATTGAATTGATCGCCGTTAGAAATTTTAAATTGCCATATACGCGCATTAGTTCTACTGAAACGTTATTTCAGCCAATACTACGGTTAACGTGTTGGCCTAATGGTTGAGTCGATCTAGTCCCGTTGAAAAAACTTCGTAAATCAATTCGGCTAAATTGATAAAGTGANATATGGGCAGAAAATGATACATAAAAATGTAAATATCGTTCTAAAACCCTTAACAGCGTTATTGTTATAATGCGATTTTATTTTACTATTTTCCAAATCGCAACTATACGACTGCGAATCTAATCCGCACTCGATTGTAATCCGCATTTGATTTTAGAGCATATAAAATTTGTAAAAAGGGTGCGGATTAGATTCGAGAAAATACGGTAGTAATTCGTTAGATGTAATCTAACTGTTAACTTAATACGTATTTTTGGAGTGTTGGAAGAATTTGAACAAACAGAAATATATATAAAATTATTATATAAATCATATTAATATATACATATCGAAGAAAGTTACTAACAGGAAAAATTCGTGTAGTAAAATTTCGCAATTCAAAACCATCGTAAAAACCATCTCATTTTCTTGTTACATATTTTTATATACATGTTATATATTTTTATACCTAAGATTCAAGAAAATGCAACTCTTGTGGTAGCTTCGAGACTGTGTTAAGTGTAGCAGGTGTAAACAGATAAAAAAGATGTGAATACGTAATGTATTGAATTGTTGAGGTTGATGTAGAAAAGATTAGTGATTTTGAGAACTCTTTGCAAAAATGTACTGGTAGGATAAAACGAGTTGATCCGATTCTAACATCTCATAAAATGTTTCATAAAATGAAAAGAGTTGATGATAATGAGAAGATTTTCTTGTTGGGGCTTGTTTCTGTCTAGTTAATGGTAGAGCCAAGATGATGGTCTTATTTTGCCACACTTGTAGTTTTTAATAAATTAGGAGATTACTGTTGATGTACTGTTTATATGATAGGACTGTAGCTAGGTTTTGCTATTATTGTGCAGAAACTTTGACAGTTACAGATTGCCCTGCAGAAAATATTGACTACGTGTGCTTAATTGCGCATGAAGTAAGCACACTTAAAATTAACCAATTTTTGCACATTGAAGAAATATATTCTTACAGAAGTTACTCTCTGCCGCTTTTATTAGTGTTGCTCATTTAGAATGCATTAATATTAGGAGTCTTCATTATACCATAACAAATCTAATTATTCATTTTATGAGATTTCGTCGAAGTCATGTGGCATTGCTAATTAAACGTCGTACACCAAGCACTTAATTTATTAAGACTATAAACCGCAGCTACTTGTTCTCTATTTTATCAAATACATAAAGAGAAGGAAATTCTTACTATTATATCGAACTTTCTGTTTAATTAGGACTATCACTATGAATTAATTTAGTAACAATTTATTTTATTAATGACTATGAGTCGGAGTATTGCATAATAACAGATAGCATTATGGTTATAGTATAGTATTGGATAACTGTTATAAATTCTGTAGTTGGTGGGGAATTAATGGCATTATACGTTCGTAATCGTAACGAATATTGAAATTCAAACACAAGCTGTACAATACCGTACACCGCCAATAGATTCAAATTGAATTGATCGCCGTTAGAAATTTTAAATTGCCATATACGCGCATTAGTTCTACTGAAACGTTATTTCAGCCAATACTACGGTTAACGTGTTGGCCTAATGGTTGAGTCGATCTAGTCCCGTTGAAAAAACTTCGTAAATCAATTCGGCTAAATTGATAAAGTGATTTTACTCAAAACCGTTGATGGTATTTGAAAATTAATTATCCTAATCATTTTTATGCAACTCTGTTTAATAATCACATCGTTGTAATTCAATCACAACGTTATTACAAACGATTACATTACTAAAACGTTTGGTATTTAACAAACGTTTGATCACTTACCGCGTTAATGTAGTTGATAAGGCTTAATCCACCATCCCATGGTTGTTCACGATCACACGAAACGTTAGAGAGCTTCAATGTGTGCGATTGTTCCAACGTTTGCAAACCTATTGCAAACACAAATACTGAGTCGTACATTAGAGCTGCTTCTGCCTGAAACGAAATAACTATAAGTAGGGGAGAGATTATAGATGTTTCTTATAACGCACATGAAAAGAAGATATTAAAAAACCGTCATATATTTTAAGTATAACTTCCTAGATCTTTTTTTTTTTTGCAAATTATTTATACAGAAAAATATAGGTCCAAAGGAATTTAAGAGGTTGCGTGGGGAGAATTCGCGATATGCAAAGACGGGGTAATGTAAAGAAGCCAGAATCATAAATCAGAATTTCAATTTGTTTCGCATCTTTTTCTCTCCCCAACATGATTCGTGATATCTGCTATTTTTCATTTATATTATTTTGGAGTGATGACTTAATAAATTTATTAATTTAGTGTGCTTTAAATTTAAATTTGTTTAATTAGTTAATTAATTTATTTAGAAAGTACGTTGAAGAGTTAACACTGCAAAAAATGCGGTGAGGAAAAGTCCCCTACATTCCCGGTGATAAACAAACCCATTAATTCTTTATTTATAGCACACTGAAGTGGCCAGTAAAACGGGATCTTTCAGGAAACTTTTTGCATAAAAGGAAAACGGGCAAAGATTTATTGCCAAGAGGCGTCTGGGGGCAAATTCTTTTTTGGAATGGTTTTGTTGAAATCATTCCATTCCTTGTAATTAATTACAAAAGGCGGACGCTACCGATTATACTCGTTATGGTTCTAAATTGTACCACCAATGAGTTTTTAAGTTATACCCTCTTAATGGCCCCACTTTATCTTTTTAGCGTTTTTAATAACGCCATTTTGTCACTGTATAATACATAAGCTCAGATGCTATTAAAAACAGAAACAATACGAATAAACGAGGGTATTTTATTTTGATTATTTCTACAGCGTCAGTTCGGTAGAAGGTAATTGCTTGGAAAACGTAAAAAGATCTGAGGCTTTATGACTCCACCACAAAGTTATATGATGCGGAAGATTTTATTGTGCATCTCTGCAAATATAATATTTCATAATAACTTGTTAGCATTATTGTTGGGGTCTTTGCAGTTGCCAGATTTTGCAGACGTGGTTTGATATTTCTAATTTTACTTCAAACGTATAACGAAATAATGAAACATTTTATCATAACAAGACTTATGATGCCAATATTAAAATATAAATTTCGAAATAACAATCGTCGGGGTAATAAGTAAGAAAACGTACAAACGTAAATACCATCTGAAATTAAAAAATGAATTTAAAAAACGTAATAAAGTTGTAATTTTTTTAATCGATATAAATAACTTTTTGGACTGTGTAAATCAAAAGCTAAATGTAATAATGGAAATATTTCCCTGTGTTTGTGAAGAGTTATTGGCATGTATGCTTTGTGAAAAGGATAAATTACAACTTAAATACTTCGCATAATTATACATAATTATACACAAACAAAGGCAATGAGCTATAAACTCAAAGCAAATTATGACGTGTTTAAATGCGCGACTGGATAAATATTATCGATATAAAAATATTTAACGAATAATGAAATATATCGCGGCGGTACAAAGAGTGACATTATTCTGTTTACTCAAAATGTTATGAAAAACTAACTTTTTGTTTGCGAAAAGCATACTATCGAGTTAATAATACCGTCTTAAGGAAAAAATAAGTATGAGATCATGTTACATTATACTTATGGATCTATTTTTTGCATAGTTTTTATGTACTCAATATAAATAAATACTTTGGTTGAATTTCGTAAATAATGTATATTAAATTTGTCATAAAATCTGAAAACAACGTCCCGTCAACATTATTCAGTCGTACTTATCCAATGTAGGTATTCATAAACTAGACGTAACTTCCCGGACGTAATCCTCTTTTATTCACTTTTGTCGGATTCATGTAAAAGAGACAATTCCTCGTATTCCAACAGCACAACACTTCACAGTTTGTAGTACCTACTTTCAAGACTTGAGGCTTGATTTCTAAATTTAGAATAATGCCTGTCACCCTTCGTTTGCAACTATCCGAGCGGAAAATATACACACATTCAGAATCGTTCGAAAAGCTTCCGTTTGTTTTACGCTAAGATGTCTACTCTGGTGTATGACGGCACGCCGTTTGTTATTTTTGGTGCAACGTCGATGAAACAATAGGAAATCTTTGTTGATGTCTCAACAACGTCGAAAAGGACTTGTAGGAGAGCCTCCGAATTCAAACGTGAGAACGTTTTGTTATACAAAAAATATAATGCAAACTGGGTGACGTAGATTATATTAATATTCGCTTATTAAACGTTACGTTAGACGATTTTCATATAGGGTAAACGCAGTGGAGATTAATCACTGTCATGTATCATGTATCCTGGTGATATTTACAAGATACTAGTTTATAGCAAAAAGTGTTTGTTTCAAAAACTTTGATAACGAGTAATTTATTAACGAGGCGTTAATTAATTATTATTTTTTTTGAAAAGATTGAAATTGCATTCTTAAATTACCTATAATTCTTTTCCTATCATAAAACTATATGGTAGTATTTTACGGGTCTCCTAAAAATGTCAATGTGTCAATTACGATCGACAGTTTGCGATTTCAGAAAAGCTTTATTGCTTTTAGGTCCTATATCAATGTTATAGTCTTCATATCATTGGTATATAAAAATTTATTGCGACCAATTTTGAAATTTTGAAAGCCCGACAAATAATAAAATTTCTAAAAACCTTTCTCATAAAATAAATTCTAAAGGTACGTAGCTTAATCGTGGAACACATATAAATGTTCATTAAATGAAGTGAGAGTAAAAGATTTGTGGAGAGAACCCGTAATTGTCGTAATTTACTACAACATAGGGTTTAACTAAATAGATGCGTTCTCATTACTTGAATCGTTTGTACAAATTCGCATTTCGCACGGTTCAGATGTTTAATTGTAATCGAATTTGTATATGTTTGTTGTAAACACCCAGGGACCTAAATTAATACCTACTCTTGTGTACATTAATTTTATTAATTTACATATATAATACGCAAAAATGCGTATTCAAGCAGTCGATATTTATAATGACAATATAAATAAAGTAATGGAATATTGCACGTTTAAATAAATTGCCAAGTTGGTATTTTTTGTAATGGTTTGTTTTTGTAGCATTATAAATATTTTATTGAAATGTAGATTAATATGTTTTTAATTAATATAAAATAACACGTATTGAAAATATATACCGTCATTCGTAATTTATTGCCGCTAAAAATATTAGAGGGATGATACTTCAATATTCATATTCGGGTGGTTTGAATAATAACACTTGGGCGGAAAGCATCACTTTGAGACTCATATTCGGGGAAGGTTTAATACAATCCATCACGTTCATCTTGAAAAATGGTGACGATGAGATGGGTTAACTTTCTTCGTAAAACTTTGCTTGGAATCTAAATGTTGCTTTAAATATAATACTATACCATATTCATTAATTCTTAATTAAACACATTAAAAAAATGTTTATTATTATGATTATAAATAAAAGTAATTGTATTAAAATAATAACTGCACACAATGGATAAGAATAGTATATGAGCGAAACGTATAATTTAAGTTCCTCATCCATAAACGTGAAGTCAGTCGAAATTAATAGTAGACTGCAGCACCAATTCATGAAAGACTTCCCAGATTCATGTGTGAACGTTTGGTCCAACGAATTCAACCAGAGGGCCAATGTGTTTCACAATCAAGCTCATCCCTATCGCTTTTGCTCTAGTACGACTACTGAAGTCATTGTAGATTTCGTGAGCTTAGCGGATGGAATTGTTGCAGTAATCCGGAATTGAAAATTGTTGCCAAAAAATCGAAACATATGTATGTGTTCAGTGTAAATTTGATTTGTTAACCAAAGCCGGATATACTTAATTTACATATATTTAAAATATGTGTTTTGAATATTAATATCTTAAATGTTTTATAAATACATGGAGCTTACGAGACCATCTATGACAATTCTCTCCGATGGTCCGGAAACGAACTACAGTGTTTTTTAGTTTTGTAGCAATCTTGCTGCAGCTAATCCACAATTTTGCCTGCAATGCATTCTTCTACAGATATAGGTAAAACTAATCATCAATTACTGGTGAAGTCAAGAATCTTGAAGTGATTATATTTTCTAATACAACAAAACCTGAGGTGGATGTGGTTGATCAATTATCTGCTACTATAAGGCGACTTCTTGCAGTGTTTTTTGCGTTGATTAATATTGCTGTTATTACATACCATTTGCAATCACTTTGATTTATTTGCATAAACCTTCTTTGAATAAAAAGAAACATCGTATTTGGTTATGGTTACTAACAAAATCCTAAACCGAATATCAAAAGTAATGCCTCAGAAGAAACCGCTGAATCTGTTCCCATTAATTAATGTAACTCAAAAGAGATGATTGTTTTGTCCTAGAAAAAGGACGGAAAACTAAAAAATCTCTTTGTGATTTGCACACAACCAAGAAACACTACTGCCTAATTTTCTGCCATTCACGATAGAAAATTTTAGTACTATATACTGTAACAACAAAAACACCGTCGAATTGATTTCTGCGTTAAAATCAATTTGCAGTGTTACTTAACTGCTTTTACATCAAAGAACCTTTTACGTATCATTATCTATCGCATTGATTTTTAACGTTGTTAGTACTAGATACAAGAATTTGTGACACTTTCGTTACTCAGTACATTGAATATTCTTGAGTTTGTGTTACTCTCAAGGTTTACTTAAAAGGGGTGAAGCCTACACCATCAGATTATAATTAGGTTAGAAATATTTATTTCTAACCCTACTTTGATACATATATTACGTAATCCTTATTTTCTTTGTTCCTCATTTTGAAAGAGAAATTTTTGTCAATTTGTCTGAACCCATTGTACATACGTGGGAGTATGTCTGTGCGTTTTCTAAGCAAATTTATAAGGGGCAATCTGTTAAACTCAACGCCCACGACGACGAAGTTGGGAAAAAAGTTGAAAGATATATGAGACGAAATGATCTCGTTGCTTCGTGGAACTTCGATTGCGTAAAAATGATTCTGTCCTCACCTCGTTCGTACTCCAATATATCGATTTCCATTAATGGTTAAACCGACGCATACCATATTATGAACGGAAACAATCACCGTTACCAACGCGTACAACTACTGCATTGGACGCGCTTTTGTGATCGGATTAAATTTATATTAAGTTCATTTCAGGACGAGATTAAAAGTTTTTTTAAGGTTCTATTACGATGTAATTGAAAATCTACGCCAATATAACGTATAATTGTCAGTAATTGGTTGAACTTCTATTCTTTAACTACATTTATTTATTTTCTTAATTTAATACTGACCTGTATAAAACTGCTGTTCAAAACCGGTGGCATTGCAAGAGTGTGTTGAAACTTCGTCATATCACGTAAAATTTCTTGTACGTTTACATCCCCAGCGTCGACAACACGAAAAGCAGTCATGTTAACAAAATTGTATTTGAAATCCTCCAAATCGAACGTCTCCAGATCGAAGGTGGTGAATAAATAGTGATACTTGTAGTCATTCATTTGAAGTTGAAGTATCTAAAAGACGACATAAAAAAAGAATTTTCTCGATAAATTTAATTAAACCTGCGTATCCTATAATAAAATCGGACATCAAGAAAGGAAGTTTTACTTTAACGAAGCGTCAGTACGAATTTATCCCCAAAACATTTTAAGATCCTTCAGCGTCTTCGCCAATATTTCACGACGCGATTGAAAAATAATTGAATCATCAACCCTGGGGATTACTTACTCCTTTAAGAAAATGCTGCATATTGGAAGGCTTCGTATCGATAATGATGTTGTGTATTTCTTTGCTCTTGATCTCCTTGAGGATGGGTCGATAGGTCTCGGGATCCGCTTGTCGTATGTGGATTTCCAGGTCCCTATTGTGTGGAGATCTCACGAGCTCTCGCAGTTTTATCAATCCTGAAAATCAGAATAGTACTACGATAAAAATTTTGCGGTAGTAATGCATCGAAGTGCGTTTACTTAGAACTTTTTTCAACTTTTCAAATATCGTTCGAATTGTATCCGTTAAACCATTAGGGTTTCAGTTTCTAGCCAAGTTGAAAACGCGCGCGAGATAAATAAATAAAAAACCCACCAGTTGTATTAAAAGGAAGTGAAGCATATGCAATTCAAATTCAGGGAAATTAAAAACAGTAGATAAATGGCAATTTTATTCTGTGAACTTAAAAATGCACCAAACGACTGTTTAATCTATAAAAGCTAAAACAGAATAAAAGTAAATCGTATTTTAATATTATTTAATTGTATTTTGAACTTGATTAAAATCTACAAGAGTTGTCCGGTTTGTTTGCAGTGCTTGGTTATTATTAGAATTAAAAACAAAATAACAATTTTTCTTGAAACTTAAACTAACTTTTATCTAGGAGATTACGATTGCGAATTCTCGAGAGTAGTTCAATTACTAAATTGCTGAAGGAGTTATTTCCACTTGATTAAAGTGCAGCGATTGGTGTCTTTTAGAGATCGATTGTTCTTTGGTTCATTGCACAACGGACTTTATAAAATCGAAAGACCAATTCTCGAATATTGGCTATAAATCGCTTAATAAATCTCGTGGTGTTTTTTTTACGCCATGAACGACCCCAATCTCTCCGGGCGATATTTGCTACCATCCCATTTTTATGGATTACATTTAGAGTTACGAGTGACCAACCTGTGAAAATCGTTTCAACCTTATCGGAACTATGCAAAATTTATACTATAATGAAATATTGTAACGTGCAGAATAGATAAAAATATTATTACGATGGAAAAATAAAAATAAAAAAATACAATCAAATACAGCACTGATGAGAATAAGAGTTGCTGGTTAATCTTTAGATGGATTAAGAAGTCGGTACTGCATTATTGAAACCCTTTCTCTTCCTCTTTTTTTATCTGCACCAAACTTTTAAAAATTTGGATTAGATGTAGTCTGTGAGTGAAAGTAGTTAACTGAAATCAGATTGTTTGTTCTTGATCAATATAATTTCATCACTGTTTTTGCTTCAATATTTAGGTTCGTTGTATTTATATTCGTTGCAATCGTTCAAAAAATTCTTCGATTTACTCTTTGTTGAGTAAATATTAAAATAAACCGGTAAGATCCAAAACAAAGTTTTTGATATTTTTCAATAAATCCATCCATTTGAAAATAGATTGGGTAAAAACTTTTTAACGATTTATCCCGCATACGAGATTTAATGGTTAACGGAAGAATGTAACGCAGTGATGTATTACGGAATTTACCGCAAAGTTTCAAAACTTTGAAATTGCTGGCGCTCATACATTAACCACTATTTGTAGACTTGTATCGATTTCACACGTTATTTTTGAAACTTTTTCTAGTTAAATAAATCCAGTACACTACGTAAATTTTGATTATTTCCACGATTAAGAAAAAGTGAACACTGTACTACTCATGCTTATAACTAAAAGAAATTGTTTAAAAACTTAATTATATTTATATAGACATCTTGAAGAAGTTAACATTCAACTTAGAGTTTTTGTAAAGCCATTCATAAGAAGCACAGATCTACACTGAAGCTTTAGGTATATATTCGTTTGCTTACTTTGCAAGAATCGCAATCTTGTGCTACCAATAGGAGCTAGAAAATAAAAAATTTTTGTTAAAACACTCGTTATAATAAGGACATTCAACATGTACCGGAAAAAGCTATAAAACACCGTTTGTTTTATTCTACCACTATTTTTTTACGGTGAAAAAAGCACAATTGAAATTTGAGTGCTGTGGATACGAGAAATTTCGTTAATTCGATCAAACTATATAAAATGGTATATTATTTTAATAATACTATTTTACAAACAATTTATTAATATGTTAAGAAAATAGATCCGAAAAATCCGAATGACGAAACTGAATGTGTACAACTCAAATTAAAGTAGCATAAATTTCATTAAAACTGCGAGTATTCGCTTTTGAGAAGTTTCTAAACGTAACTTTGAGATTTAGTTGGATTTCACTGTTTAGAGCCACAGACCATAGTTCCTCGAGCTTTCCTATACAGAATATTCATGAATTATAAACACAAACATTGTCTGAGTTGCTGTTCCTTAATTGATGTTGGTATGAAAGGTTCACAAATATTTCGTAAAATCATCCCTTAAAACAGGTTTAACAAACTTTTTAAAAGATCCAATAAAGTTACTTCAAAATTACAAATATTTAACTGAATTATCGGAAATTAAATTGATTTGGGTATGTGTTGATATATTACATATTTAATGGGAAACCTCCCAATCTCATTAAACTGTAATTTGTAAACATCAATTATTAGTAACGATATTTATTTATCGGTTAAATATACATTGTTTAATAATAATAATAATATATTTATTGCTAATAAACATAATACAAAAAAATTATATGCACTAACTATATTGCTGTAACAGAGAAACATCAATCGACTGCAACAAAAACATAAAATTATAGGCAAAACGATCGCACTAAATGATATGACTCAATTGGGTGTAGATATAAATATAAAATAAAATAAATATTATTGAGCGTCACACAAATTCTCTTCTATTCAATTGAATAGTTCCCGCTCTTCCTAATTTGGCATCTTATCTTTACACCATCTTTGTACCTTTTTCCATTTCGACTCTATCTCCTTCTACAATTATGTTACAAATATATATCTTGAACATTTTTCTCGATTTAAAAAGCTTTTCATTCCATGTCTACACCTGCTAAACGGTTCGTCTCAAGCGAGGATCATTGATAGAAAAAGCTAGCGTTACTTACTTTGTATCTGAATATTTATCATAATTATGTTGATTAATTTATGTCAGTTTAAAGCAACAGTATGAATAATTAGAGAATTGGTATATGATCAGATACTGCTTTAAGAATGGATGAATCAACTCATAATAACTGTGATGCGAATTATTAAAGGATTTTTTTTGCTGCAATTGTCATATAAAACTTTACAAATAATATAGTATTATGCAAACGTAGCTGGTGACACAGCCAACGTATTAAAATTTTATTACAAAACTTTTCACCTGTGTTACCTTGCCATTGGGAGGAAGTGATTATTCGCTTTATTTTACGTTACATCACATTGCTTATAGCTTCGAACTTTATAAAAGCCTTTTATACTGTCAATCATGTAATTCTAGCCGTACTGTTTCTTGTTTTGCTATGTTGGATTGAGATGGGGGCTAACAATGAGCTAATTAATACTTAAATTGGAATATAGTGTATCATTAACTATTTATAATTACTTTATAACCTTTATATAATTATTTATAATTTTTATTCGGTTTTTGTATTTATGTAACATATAAATATTTTATTTTATTTTATCTATTTCACCCTCCATACATAACCACGCTGTTCTATTACCTAATTGAAAATAATTAAATTCCGAAGGATGTATATTCTAACAGGATACAATTTTTGTCTTTAAACAATTATTCCAAATGGGTGGTTCAAACAAAGTTTCGTACGTAATAAATTTAGTTGATTTTATTACGTTTCTCGACGATTGCGAGAACTACTTCTTGAACAGATCCGTCGGCAGTGATAATTTTGTTAACGTTACTCAGAACATGGAGTAACTTTCAACTAGTACTTTGAACGAAAAGTTTTCACACACTTTACTTATAAAAAATATATCAAGTTAATCTGCGTTTTTTATTAAATGAATCCAAGAAAGTTGAAACTACAGTTTTTTTTATTACAAGCGTCTGAAATCGAATAGATAGCGGAAAAGGGGTGGTATTTTTCTGAGATTTACGAGAGGGCGACTATGGCGTTACGTTCTATAACGCCCTATGCTGGTATTACACTGCGGCGAATTTTTTTTTTGTTCCATTTCCATATAAAAGACTCCAAACTACGGCTCTTTAAGCCTTTAGGATGCTCAGCCTCGGGCCGAGCGGCTGTAGTAAATTGTCTTCGAACTGTGAATAAATTTTTATCCATTCAGAATTCTCTCTCGGCCTTTATCGCAACCACTAAATTTAAGTAATGAGTTCTAAATCGAGATATCTATTGTATTTATTCTGGTAGTTTTTATTTGTTCCTTACAAATAAAACAAACACAAAAGCAAAACTGAAACCTCAGAGATTTACCAAATCGACGAGAGTTTATCTTGGTTTACGTTTACTGCAATGCTTTGTTTGGGCTATTTATTATGACAGTATGTGTGGAAAAACACAAACCCCTAAAAGTGTTTTATACCCCTGATAAATCTATTGTGTTTAAAATGCTGTCATATTCAATATGCGTATTAATAATTTATATAATACAGTTTCGTTCTATTTTATTACAATAATAAAATTTTACATCATTTTCAATATATTTTGTATAAAGTTAAGAATACTGACCATAATCCTCTTCGTAGATGATAGCAACCCTCGTCCAATTGAGGAACGCCATGACATCTTGGAAGGCTCGGTTGAGTAGGTGTTGAGCCGGATATAAGTTGATCGAGAACTCCCTAACGTCCGTATCAAGATCCAGCCGGGCTTCCAAGTGTGGGATGTCGAGGGCGTCACATATCGAGTGGATATGAGCCCCCAGTAATGGATCTGACGGTCCAAAAACGGCTTGCACTCCAAATCGTACTTGATTACATGCTAAAAACAAAATTGAATTCATTTCCATTTTTTATTCTCGCAAAATTAAAAGTATCATTACGCTACAAAGGTTATAAAAAGGATTCATTAACAAGAAGCTGGCTAAATTTGATCTCATTTTTATTAGAATGAAAGGTAAATAACCTTATCTTCCGCCACGTCATTAAGGAGCATTAAATTCTTTTAATAAAGGGAACCTCATTTTCGTTTTTAGTTTAACTCGGTGTGAAAATTTTCCAAAAGGTTCTGTTTGCTTTTCCTAGCTAACACCCTTTCACAACGCAATTACAAGAGAAGGGCGAGACAGGAAACGATGTTTCCCTCATTTTCGCCCTTTTTCAACGACATTTTTTTTCAATCGTTTCTGAAAAGGTTATCGATTTGCATCTTTATATAACGAACAAGCGGACAATAAGATTTTGTATTGTATCCTTGCCTTTCTTAATTCAAGGCCGGGACGGTAATATCGTTCAATCTGAGCTAACCTAATTACCCGCCAAAGCTCTCTAAAAATCTAACAAATTTGGTTCAGGTTTATCTTTTTTACTCATTAAGAAAGAATTTTCCGGCTATCAATTTACTAGGTTCTTGGAATTTATTAGATGTTAAGAGAGTGGATCGTTGACTTCAAGATCACTTAACTACCTCTAGACACGCTTTAAGTGCTATTAGTATATCCAAGTTCCCCAAGATCTAGATCTGTTCGTTCCGCTCAATTTGTAACCCGGGATCGTTCTTTAACGCAAACGATGTGGAGTGGCTTTCGTTTTAAAAGTGTAATCTTTTCAGGAGGGTAGAAAGAACAATTTGGGTCAGAACAGAATTGATTCTAAAAGTCTAATGATGAAAATCTCAATAAAAAAAGTTTATAAAAGAATATTGGTATTAATTAATTTAATTGTTGTTCTTTCATACAAGAATTGAGTCAAAAATAGAATACGAAAAGTGACTACTAAATAAAAGCGAGATCTCATTTTCATCATATACCTGATTCCTATTGTAGCAATGCATAATCAGCTAAGCAAATGTGTACATTTTGGAAACTGAGTCAATAACCACTGGAATGCTTGCGTTAACATTCTGGATTAAACACGCTTGTATATGGTCAAATCAAAACTAGGTACTCACGTTACCATATTTCATTAACAAACGTTGAAATGTTATAAGTATCTATTACGTTTTTAATTAATGTAACAAACCGCACGATAATTTATGTTCAAATATTCTCTGGGAGCTACGTCGACCATGATGTTAAAGCGTTTCGTACGCTTGTTGAATAATTTACTAACTTTATCTATAGTTAGAAAAGTTTGAAATAATTGCTTGTTAACTCAAATAAATCAATAGTAAATTATAGTTAACACATTTTATCTTTCAATAATGATTTTCGTGTTGATCGCGCAGTAAACATCATAAATAAGGCGGTTATTATCTTGTCACTCTTTCCCCTCTGAAATATAATGTATTCGTATGTGAAACAAGATACAGTCTATACAATTAGTAAAGCCAATGATTCATCGCTTAAAATCGTACAAAATAAGAGTTGGACATGGAGCTTTTTTTGAAAAGATAGACAACCAAATATACGTATCACATATGCGTGTAGCCGTACGAAAAATATATTAATTATAAAAAAGGACTTTATTTCACACCAAATATTATTATTAACATTATTTATTTATTTCCTCAATTCCATCAACTTTATCGTCTTCAACACTGCTGTTCTCTTGTAATCTTATTACCCCTTCCGTGTGAGGTATAGATTTCATTCAATCTTTAGCTGTCATTTTATGCAATGTTTCGGCCCACATTGTATATGCACTACTTATATATGTATTATAATATTATTTGCAATTCATCCAAACCAGTTTAATAATAATACTTTATTGACGATAACACCATTTACATTTTAAAATCACAAAAGAAAAATCAAGTCCCGTGCTGTTCGAAAATAGTTTAAAGCTAATTTTGGACCCGTCCTCGTACTATAGTTATGGCCAGAACTTACCGTTTTATATTGGGTAATGTCATTTTTAATGTACGGAAGGCAGTGGAAGATGTAAAGGCATGGAATTGTTAACAGTTCAAATGGAATAAATTTAGCTCAACAGCAATCCTGGACTCCCAAGTTTGCCATCACTCTGATGCATCTTCTCTGGGCTCCAAAAACTCGATTAGTATGGGCAGAATGACCCCAAGCTAATAAGACGTGACTAAAGAAATAACCATAATATGTGCCCAACAGTACATGGAAAGGGACCAAGTCACGTAGTCTGCAAATTGCAAAAATGGCGATATTCAGTTTTTTTATTAAATGTGAAACATGTGATTCCCATGTAAGGCCCGGCTCAAGGTCCTAGACGTCTAAGGGAAAAATGTAGGGTTTGCGTTTTGGCTTCATTCATGCTGAGTCTATTTTTTTAAACCAGTTCGTGATGATAAAATGATGGTTTGTAAATAATTGTTGGCTTCAAAACAATCTTGAGTAATACGAGCCAGTGCTTGAACGGCATTTGTCGTTGATTTTTTCCTTCTGAAGCCAAAGTGCACCAGATTTAACATATTGTTTGATTCAATATGAGAGAGCAACTGCTTATTTAGGATAATTTCAAAGATTTTTCCAAAAATAGGAAAAATAGATATTCGTCTAAAGTTAGAAGGTTCATTTTGTCGGCCATTTTTGTGTAAAGGGACAACTTTAATTATTTTCAGACAGTCGGGGAATAAGGATGCAGATATGCATTCATTAAAACTGTTTTAATTAACTTACTATTCAACCGATAGACATCCCTGTACGAAGACTTCTTCAAGTTGAAAACCACTCCCTCAACATCAGAAGCATCATAGTTACTATTACTAACAGGTGAATTTGGATGAAGGTTAGAAGAATTCAAAAGAGAGAAAGATTAGAAACAGCAGCGATGATATTTTCAGCCACATTGGCAAAATATTTGTTCAATTCTGTAGCAGTAAACATATTGGTAGAGCGGTCATAAATTAATGGATTGTTGCCCTGAATAATTTTCCACATTGCACGTTGTTTGTTGCTAGAGCTTTTATGTGGTTAGTATTTGCGTCTTTCTTCGCTTTAATGATTAGATTGCGATAGAATCGTCTAAACTGTCTTATTTGCGATGTGGATATCAAATCCGTCTATTTATGTCAACCAGAAGGTGCAAAACATCCCTGGCTAGCTTAATGTTATTAGTTATTAGTGAACCAGGAAACTTTTTTCTCATTGCCCACCTTGCACTTGAGAACTCTGACTTTTGCTAAAGCACAAGTGGAGGGTAGTAACAATGTGGTTTATAAATAAGGACAATTTTTCGTTTAGATGCAAATTAGTGCCATCAATAAAGCCAATGTCAACCAGGTCTAGAGTGTTATAGAATTGAAGGAGACCCACGTCCGATAAATTACATGGAAAAGTTGTTTTCAAAATTGTACCTGTTGATCTGTTATTGTACTAAAAGTACTCCTAAATGTTAAAGTTTTAGTAATTTTAACAAAACAAATTCCACAAATAAACATTTTCTAAATCTTACACCAGCTGTTCAGTTTGGTTTAAAATCGGCTAAATCAACATTAGATTTTATAATCGTTTAATCTGCATTTGTGAAACGCATTTCGATAAATGCCGCCCGATTTTCAGCATATATTGTCTAGTGTTCAAAAAATATTGTATATAAATATATTTTTAATTAAAAGTTTATAGTGGATCAATATTGGGTAACAGAAATTACACGACAATAAGCGACTGGTCGACGCCCTTCGTACGCACAATTAATCAACGTCCTCGTCGGAATCGGAACGACCAGCGACGGCGTCTTTTTCTTGCGGGAGGATAACTTTGTCAATATTTGAAAGGGCGGTAATTTATGAACGGGATCGTATGTCATCCGGGTTAGCTTCCGACGTTTTTCGTTATCTGTTAAATATTCAGCTGAGGATACGCGGGACGATATCAGCGTTCGAATGAAAAAGTCTGATTTATGTCCTTCCGTGGGCAATGATGGCAAAGGTGGTGGCGCTAATTAATAGGGATTTATCGCGTTTAACTCGTCATTTAATTGGTATTTATCGCAATAGTACTTTCTCATTTCCCGAACGAAACTGTTATGAGTATTTATGTCTACGTATTCATTGAATATAATTGGTTTCTTAAAAACGTCCTTAAAAGTATAAAGAATTATTGTAAAACTAGAACAACTAAACTATTTAATACGTCAACAGGGATTTTCTTGAAATATTAACGAGGCTGCTACTTAAAGAAGTCACGTTTTCTTTGTAGCGAAGCGATGGGGGGCTTATTATGGTAAGTTGGGAGCAACAAAGTTTAAATTTAAACAGACATAATAAACTGTCTGGGGTCCCATTAACTTTACAATTTCAGTCAAGAGGAAAGAATCCGAGTTTTTAATTCATTTTATATCTTTGAAATGGAGTAATTTCTCGCACTCATTCCTTTATAGACGTGCTTCTTTTTTTCAATGAAGTTGATTTTATTGGAGGTCGTATCTGTCCCATTCCCCGACCTCTATTGCTTTTGCTGACAAAGCTGATCGTACTTCCTTTTATCAGGTTATTACTATTACACGGCTTCCAACTTTTTTATATTAAATTCTTCATTAAATTAAATACATTAAATTAACCATAAGAAATTAACGAAAACTGTATTCAAGTTCCTAATTACAGGTGAAATATGACTACTAAATATTAGTAGAGGAAGTTATTTCGAGAACTTATTACGGACAGTAATTTACCGGAAGTAACTTGAACCCTGAATCGATCCTGTTAATAGTTTATTTACACGGAGGAGTTCCGGCTGGCATATGTTCGAGCCCCGAACTAGAGCTGACATTTCTAATGCAGAATTCGAGTGGGAATAGCAGTGTGCGCTTTCTAAGTGGATATCTTGCAATTTAACTTTCTAGACTTCCCTTTATTTTATTAAACTTTTAGATGCGAATGCTCAATCGACATTTATTGGGAATAAATATCCTTACGAATTCCTATCTTCTCGTATTTAGAACTTTGCACCAAAGTTTAGATCGTTTTAAAAAAACATTTTTCGTCTTTTTTAGTGCTGTTAGATAAAGATATTAAAGTAACAAAACTTTGTTGCGAATAATAAACCGTGTTAATCTGTTTTCTTATACATTAAACTTATCTACGATAATGTTGGTTGAAATAATTACTGCTATAACTATATGAAAGCAAGGGAAACTTTACCATTTCAAATAATATAGTTGCAATATGCTTGCTTAAACTTGGAGTCTCAGGACGGGAAAGATTTTAGTTACTTGTAATTTAATTTACTCTTAAATTAACGTGTAGGGTCTTCTAAAAACCTCACACAATTATTTAGGTAGACAATAATAGGCGGTCCAGAATCTGTTATTTGATTTTGTTATCTGTTATCTGTTTTTTAAGCCAATAATAAAAATGTATGAAGAACATAATAAATAAACACAAGAAGAAAATAAATGAACAATATCTCATCCGAAAACTTAATCCTTGGACACTACAAAACGGGAAAAAAATTCCCGATTCGAAATGTCTTTCAAATTCCGCTAAAACGACAAAATATTGTAAAGGTACACGAATATAACATAAAAATGATCTTGTCTAGGTGGTCATAACTCGTAAACGATATACTCGATTATCAAGATCTATACGTCATTCGATTCTTCATAACTTTTTGTATCGAATACAATGACATATAGAACTTGATAGTCGCGTACAACATTTATGAGTTATGATCACCTAAAAATAGTAATTTTTGTGTTATTTTGGTGTACTTTCGCAATATTTTGGCGTTTTAGCGGGATTCAAAAGACATTTTGAATCGGGCATTTCTACTTTCATTTCTGGGCAAGGACTAAGCTTTCGAATGAGATATTGTTTGTCAAAATCGGTTAAAAGGTACTCTTGTTATGACCTTACACAACTGTTTAGTTTACATTTACTATCTTAATATCATTATAAGACACTTACAAGGGAAGTGTCACAACTGTGTCTCACCGATTTCGATGCAATTTGGTACAGTCATAGAATGGGCCAAAATAAGGTTCGCACATTTTTTTATACGTGCGGTAAAAGCCCCTGGGGCGAGTTATAGGGGTTGAAAGTTTGGAGAAAAAGTACGTTTTCACTTATATTTTGAAAACGAAAAGTGCTATCAAAATTTGGTAAATTGTAACTGATATTCATTTTAAAAGAGCTTTCTTTTGATGTGTCACACATATAGCAGAGGGTTAAAAAGGGCGAACTACCCCTATTTTTTTGGAATTATTTAAAAACCACCCTATCGATTTTGGCGGCATTAAGTATACTTCTAGTGCGTTCAAAAATATTAGTTAAGGGTTTTTTCCCATTCGCCCTAGATCAACCCCAGCGAAGTTACGGGGGTTAACATGTAAGCACTTTTCGTAAGAATGATGTGATAAAATTGTCAGGTATTTTGAAAATACTTTAAACAAAACCGTAAATTAGTCGCACAATAAAATGTTTAGTGTAAAATAAGGCATAATACACCATATAGGGGTTGTTGGGGTTATCCACCCCCTTAAAAATTAATTCTATCCCGGGCGTTATTTGTCGATTACGGCGAAATTTGGTACTGTGTTTGTTTTATATTTGAAGTAAAAATTTTTGAAAATGGTTATAAGGGTTACAAATTAGGGGTAGTTTTTTGTTTATACCTCGAAGATGAAAACTGCCATCGTAACTGTGGTATTGTTTTTTAANTTTGAGAAATGACCTTTAGCAAGCGGCACTAAAAAAACAAATATTGTGCCAAAATTTTTTTGGTAGGTGTATTTTTGGCAACATTATGTAGAATAAAAATAAACTAATAAACTATATAAAACAAACACAGTACCAAATTTCGCCGTAATCAACAAGTAATGCCCGGGATAGAATTAATTTTTAAGGGGGTGGTTAACCCCAACCACCCCTAAATGGTGTATTATGCCTTATTTTACATTAAACATTTTATTGTGCGACTAATTTACGGTTTTGTTAAAGTATTTTCAAAATACCTGACAATTTTATCACATCATTCTTACGAAAAGTGGTTACATGTTAACCCCCGTAACTTCGCTGGGGATGATCTAGAGCGAATGGGAAAAAACCCTTAACTAATATTTTTGAACGTGCTGGAAGTATACTTAATGCCGCCAAAATCGATAGGGTGGTTTTTAAATAATTCCAAAAAAATAGGGGTAGTTCGCCCTTCTTAACCCTCTGGTATATGTGTGATACATCAAAAGAAAGCTCTTTTAAAATGAATATCAGTTACAATTTACCAAATTTTGATAGCACTTTTCATTTTTAAAATATAAGTGAAAACGTACTTTTTCTCCAAACTTTCAACCCCTATAACTCGCCCCAGGGGCTTTTACCGCACGTATAAAAAAATGTACGAACCTTATTTTGGCCCATTCTATGACTGTACCAAATTGCATCGAAATCGGTGAGACACAGTTGTGACACTTCCCTTGTTAGAAGCAAGATATTTGAACAAAAAAATACATATTTGTAGGTACAAATAAACGTCATCTTAATCATACAAGTTTTTGAAATACACCGCAGCACTAATAAATGATCATTACCGTACCCGTAACTAAGACAAGACAGAACCGTGTCAAGTAGAAATAATCGGTTTGAGCCGTATCGTGTACACACACGCAAAACGATCCAGATCTGTGGTAAACATGTCGTCACTCACCCTTCTTGCTAGCGTGGAAGCTGTCATCCCTTGGCACGTATTGGATATCGTAGACGAGAGACGTGCGCGGCAGGAGGTTCTTATCCTTGTTGATTTTGTAAACGGCGTACTTGAAGGCTAATTCCGTAGTGCTGTCTTTCTGGTCCTCTGTAAATATAGCCCCTGCAAGCAAAGGAGATATTCATCGTAGTCGTATGGTAATGCGAATGGATACATACAGATTGGGAGAGAATATTTCACTGAGTCTATTGATACGTTACAACTTTATTTTCAATAAAACAAATACCATTTTAAAAATTTTTGTTTTAATTTTATTGCAAATAGTAACATGTTACATTCGAGGAATAGTTATTATTTGGTGACGTGGAGTTTGATAGATTTTTTTTTTGGATAGTCACAGGTAAAAAATTGGTCCATCCGGACCGAAATGTACGTATTTGACGAGGGTAATGCCGGAAGTAAAGATATCGGCGAAATTCAGGTCTCACGATGATAAAAAACGTTGATATCTGTGTATATAAAAGAAATTCGACTCGAATCTGAATCGGATCTATCATTTCGGTTGGGGGTCTGAAGATGAGAAATTAGGTTTCATTCGAACGTGAAAACTTGATTTATTTCTTGAATCCCAGGACTAACCCAGTTTTTATCCCATTTTTTTGCATGTAATTTATGAATCACTTGAGAGTAACGAATAGTACGAATGTATGTGAGGATAGTTTCTACCATTAGATTACAGTGGGTTTATTTAGTGTTATCAAAAAAACTCGACCCCTCAAACTCTCCCATTTGCTGTTATAGTATGTGCAAAATTGTAACGTTAAAATAATAATAATCTCATAATTAAAGGTGTCAAAATAATGGGGATTAATTAATCAAGAAGAAAGCCGATATTTAATTCGCGTAATTGTCAAATGGACAAAGCAAAATATCACTATTTCAAATGAATCAACTGAATTCAGTATTGGTCAAACAACTTGATTGAATATAAATTCGTTTCAGTAAATTGATTGGAATACACGAAACAAACATACACACAATTCAATTAAATTTCAGAGTTTAAAAGGAAAAATGTAAACTTCCTAGCAAAAAGTATTGATTTTTTTGACTTATTTCCGCTTGTTTGAGTTCCCTTTTGGAAAATTTTATTTGACCCCAATCCTACTTGTTGTTTTTTTCGAGAGAAATAAATTTTAATTCATGAACCGTAATACCGTAAATTGTAATCTGATCTATGAAATGTAGGTTAAATCTTTTAGGAGGATTGGAGTAAAATGAAACAACAAAAGTGAAGGGACGAATTTGATGCCAAATATCATGCCTCACAATAATATCCCACGGAAGATTCTTTATACCTCTCGGTAGGGGGCCGAAGTTGTGCTACGACAATATTCCCATTTCTATACGAAGTTTTAGGGTGTATTGTTTGTTCAGATATATGTATAGAAGATAATTTCCAAACAAAATCTGGTTTCCTTATGTAGATCCCTTCCTTTGTTATTATTGTCTAGTGTGCGGTGTCAGATGGTCGGTGGTCTAATAAATCAACGGAAAAGATTTTCCCTTCTCTGCATTACTATGCGTGGCGGTTTTCCAAAAGTACGCCGATGTAGTAGATCATCCGGTTGTTTGTGACAGGTTTGTTATTTGCATGAATCTAATTGCAACACCATCTCAATAAATAAAATTTCAATTTCTATGATTTACAATACGAGATGTTTTATTTACACAACTTTTGAAATGAAAGAATAAATTTTGCATTATAAAATCGATATGGAAAAGAAAAGTGGCTAGTCGGAAAACGCATACTTTCATGTTTGCGTATATCAATCAGAATCAGCACTTTATTAAGAACATGTTTCGATTACAAAATAATGACGCTTTGTTAACATCATAAAAATGAAGGTTACTAATTTTGTCAAAATAATTTTCTTAAATGTCAGTAATTATTACATTAAACACCGCGAGCTTACAAAACAAATCTAGAATATGCGTGATGTTCAAAAATTGAAAGATTTAGCGAATAAGCTAAGAATTTTAACGATATATGCTACAAAACAAGCTAACAGTGGGCATCCAACAACGTGTTCCTCAATTGCAGAAATAATATCCGTTCTATTCTTTCGTGTTATGAAATATACTACTCCAGCAAAAAATCCTTCAAATGACAGACTAGTTCTTTCTAAAGGACATGCTGCACCTATCCTTTATGCTGCATGGACTGAAGCTGGTTATTTTAAAAAATCAGATTTAATGACATTACGACAATTTGGCTCTCCATTTGAAGGACATCCCACGCCACGGCTAAATGCAATTGATGTCGCTACTGGTTCACTGGGTCAAGGTGCATCAATAGCAGCAGGAATGGCGTATGTTGGTAAAAACGTTGATAAAGCTGACTATAAGGTATACTGCATTATAGGCGATGGGGAAGCAGCTGAAGGATCGATTTGGGAAGCATGCAACTTCGCTAGTCATTACAAGTTAAATAATTTATGTATTATTATGGACGTTAATCGTTTAGGGCAAACAGGCCCAACAAATCTTGGACATAATCTAGATATTTACGAAAAAAGATTCTCTTCCTTTGGATTTCATACCGAAATTGTGGATGGTCATTGTGTAGAAAAGTTAATATGTGCTTTTGATAATATTAAAGAAGTATGTGACAAACCTAGTGTAATTATTGCGAAGACTTTAAAAGGTAAAAATTTTTTAACGTGCGAAGACAATCCCAGTTTTCATGGAAAAGTATTAGGAAAACATACGGATTCAGTTATATGTCACCTTGAGAGCTTGATATGTGATAATAATGTAACACCACCTGAAAGATGTGAACCGTCAGTTAAAATTCAAGAAATTAATTGCTTTGATAACAAATTATCTGAACCACCTTGTTATAAACCTGACGAACTCGTAGCTACGCGATTGGCTTATGGTACTGCTTTAGTAAAATTGATTAAAGAGAACGAGAGAATATTAGCATTCGATTGCGATACAAGTAATTCGACATATGCTGAGAAAGTAAAGTTTGAGCATCCAAAAAATTTCGTAGAATGTTTCATAGCAGAACAAAATATGGTTGGAGTTGCAATTGGAGCTGCTTGCAGAAATCGTACGGTCGCTTTCTGTTCTTCATTTGCGGCATTTTTGACTAGAGCATTCGATCAGATACGCATGGGTGCTATTTCTCAATCTAATGTAAATTTTAGTGGTTCTCACTGCGGTGTGACTATAGGTGCTGATGGTCCAAGCCAAATGGGTTTGGAAGATATTGCTATGTTCAGATCTATTCCCGGCTGTACTATATTTTATCCCAGTGATGCAGTTGCTTGTGAAAGAGCTGTAGAGTTAGCAGCTAATACGAAAGGTTGATACATATTATTTCAATTAATATATAGAAAATTTATTTTATATATTTTCTTAGGAATGACCTTCATTAGAACAACACGACCTAAAACAAAAATGATATATCCCAATAACGAAAAATTCGAAATAGGAAAATCAAAAGTTATTAAAGAATCTGAAGAGGACAAAGTGTTAATAATAGCAGGTGGTATAACCATTCATGAATCACTTGGTGCTTATTGTGCGTTAAAAAGGTTAGGAATTAAAGTGAGAATTATGGATTTGTTCACAATCAACCCTATAGATAAAGAAGGAATTATATGCAACGCGCAACAATGTCACGGAAAAATCTTAACCATCGAAGATCATTATGCAACAGGCGGATTAGGAGACGCGGTGTTGTCAGCTGTAGCTGAGGAAAAAGATATTATTGTTAGAAAAATAGCGGTAAAAGAAATAGCTGGTTCAGCATCACCTCAGGAACAACTGGATTTTGCTGGTTTATCTAGCAACTTTATCGTTGAGGCCGTGAAAAGATTCGCCGGCTGCTCTTAAAACGTGTTGCTTTTAATACGAGGCTATTATGCGTATTAGCCCAAAGGTACAATCTTTCTCACAAAGCGACCCTTCATCTTGATACTTCTATACGAATGCAGTCCAATCTTTTAACTCCGTGATAGCGCCGTAAATATTAATGTAGTTATTAGTGGAGGTCACAAGGTCTATTTTAACCGGAAAATTAGTAACAGTTTTAATTGAAAGTGGTTTGAAAAATTATTTGATTAATCGATGTTTTCAGAAATATTGTAATAACATTTTTTAGTTCTTATAGAAGAGATATTGGGATAATAAAACGTGGTACAATATATTACACAGTTTTCTCCCCCAACTAATAATTGAGTAGTACCTGGTAAATTTTCTTTTAAAACTAGTAAACGTCATCATTGTAGTAGCAGCTGCGACGTTATACAAAAACGTAATCTCGCCGCTGCCATTAAAGTTAATTTCCATATTTGGGAAACTTCCTCAATATATCTTTCCTGAAACTGCATTACCTTAAAATTCAGTTCAATCTAAATTCAAGCAGCTAATATTTCAACATATTTTCCAAAAAGTCGATATTTGGATAAGTATTTTATTTTAATCGTTGTAATTTTAATTAATAAAGACAGAGATAGCATCAATAAAAAATGTCAACTTTAATTGTAATAGTAATATAAAGTAACTTGTGGAATAACCTGGACGTCGTAGTTAACGATTTTGTTACCGCAGCACTATAAACCGCGAAAGTTTTACAATCTTCCGCTATCTTGGGATAAATTTAAAAATAATTTTAGAAATATTTTTATGTTGTACGTTAAAGTTTAGTCATAGCGGAAGTAGTTACGAATATTGCTTAGTTTGTATAGCTATCTAGACTAAGATTACAAAATTGCAGATTATAACTCAAAGCGAATTTCAACAAGGTGCTTTCGTCACTTCCAAATTAGTATTAAAATCCAGGACAATTTCTGAGTTGCGGACAAATTACGGTTGCGCACTTCAACTATCTAAATCCTCAAACGGCTTGCGGTAAACGGTCGTAATCTGTGTTTACAGCCCTGAAGCGGAACTTTACCGAGGGAAACCGTTGTAACTAGCATTGTATTAGTGTGCCAATTGCACTGCAATTTTGGACCGTTTATACAGTGAACGGTCGTATCGCGTTAATAGCATTCAACTGTTACATTTCGTATTGCGAGCAGTCTGTAATTGTAACTACCATTGACTAACGAATATGAACAAGAAACTATGGTACTAAGGATAACAGCAAATGTTTTAATTTAAGGCAATTTAATAAGGGAATTACAAAACCTGGATATTCGGGTGTAACTTTTAGATGGATATGGTACAAATGTGTACAAACTCACCAATTTTAACGACCGGAGGCAGTGCGACGGCGGCGGCAAAGAGCAGTCCGGCGATGCCGAGTGCGGCCGCGCAGCTGCCCAGCCGCATGGCTCATGGCGCCAGAACCTCCAACTGTCCTACCACTATCATTCCAGATTCACTGAAACAGAAGAGACAATTTACATTCATTTTCTGGCTGACATATGATCAAAATGTGCTATTGTGCGATGCATAGTAACCGATACTAGAAACGAAATTACACCGTTCGGCTGACAAATTCGTGAATTTACGAGAAAAAATTTCACAATTTTGAATGAAGAGCTTTTATAAAAGCTGACAATATTAAAACTTTTCCAACAAAAAATGAAAAAAAAAGACATAATTTATTATTTTGTAATATATTTCGGTAAAAAATAAGTAATAATTTGAAAAGTTTTATGTCAATTTAGTTGAGGTAATATTGCAATTTACTAAATCAGTAAAAAAATATCTTCTATACATTTTGTATTATATCGACATATTAATATCAAGCAATATTGCAAGGTTAACATGTTCTGCATTTTAAGTGTATCTAAGCTTTAGCTCTCTTGGAGCGCTGCCAACATATTATACGCTCCTTATTACATTTTTTCTTGAGTTTAAGAACAGTTTGCATTTTACCACAAATCATACAATTAGTCCTATATTTGGTTATTAAAATTTGCAAAGTGATTATGTTAATTAAAATAAAATAAAGAGTTGCACTTTTTTTAATGGATAATTGTTATATATATGTTCTACCGGTTTCGACTCAACATAGAGTCATCTTCAGGAACGCGTCATAATTTGAAAAAAGGCCTGGTATCAGTATTAAACATTTGTTCGTGATTAAAAAATTAAGAAAATTAAAAATTAAATAAATGTGTAATTATGGGCGGATGCGATGAGTGATGCTATGATCATCACTCATCGCTGTTTAATACTGATACCAGGCGTTTTTTCAAATTATGACGCGTTCCTGAAGATGACTCTAAGTTGAGTCGAAACCGGTAGAACATAAATATAACAATTATCCATTAAAAAAGTGCAACTCTTTATTTTATTTTAATACGAATGATGGAAACAAATAATAATTACACCAAAATTATGTTAATTGTTTATGTCAAAGCCGTTACTTACTTAATACTGTAGATTAGGCTATAATAGACTACAATATATCAACATTATAAATGAACAAATTAATTAATAGTTAAACTTAATTAAATTTTACTTACATATCAACTGTTATTAAAAGATTAAATTATTAATCATTAATATTTGAAGATTATTATATGGTAGAAACAAATAACACAAAAGGAATTAATTTAAATAACACAAAATGAGTTACATATTAAAAAGACGTTGAAAGTTCTGTGTCTAGGTATAAAGTGAATAAACTGGTTTGAACGTAAAACGAGTTTTTTATGGTGTAACGAGAAATTTTAAACCGCATCTCGCTGCAATGGAAAACAACAAAAATAAAAAGAGGGATGAAATCATTTTGTGTTGTTTTAAATTTAATATATTATGAAATATTCTTAATAACTTTTTAATTAATAATAAATAAATCTAATTAATTTAAGCTTCAATTTTAGAACATATTCGTTTTTATTTTATTTAGTACACATTGAGAAAATTTTGAAAGGAACCAGTGGAAAGAACCATTAACAAAATAAGCTGATTGAAATCAGGGAGTAGAGTTGAGTATCAAAAAAGTTCTGAAACGGATCAAAATTAACAGTTGTAATTTTTGGGTTAATTTGAGAATTATTAGAAAATTTAAATAATCGCTCTATCTTTATTTATGGAGATAAAGAAATGATTTATATCTTAAATTAAAGTTCGAAATCTCTGTTTTAAAATGATGTATAAAAATTAATATGTTGATTATCGAAAAAATTCTGAAACGGATCAAAATTAAAAGTTGTAATTTTTGGATAAATTTGAAAATTATTAGAAAATCGAAAAAATCGCTCTATCTTTATTTATAGAGATAAAGAAATGATTTATATCTTAAATTAAAGTTCGAAATCTCTATTTTAAAATGATGTATAAAAATTAATATGTTGATTATCGAAAAAATTCTGAAACGGATCAAAATTAAAAGTTGAAATTTTTGGGTTAATTTGAGAATTATTAGAAAATTTAAATAATCGCTCTATGTTTATTTATGGATATAAAGAAATGATTTATATCTTAAATTAAAGTTCGAAATCTCTATTTTAAAATGATGTATAAAAATTAATATGTTGATTATCGAAAAAGTTCTGAAACGGATCAAAATTAAAAGTTGTAATTTGTGGTATAATTTGAGAATTATTAGAAAATTTTAAAAATTGCTCTATCTTTATTTATGGAGATAAAGAAATTGTAAAACAGTACAAACTAACTTATCGGCCAGATAACGCTGTTGGGAAGTTTATCGGTATATTGTACAACCGGTCCTTAATGATATATTGTTCGGGGTCAATGTAGGCATGTTATTGTAGAATCTTTCCACATTATTGGATTGAGATATCACGTAATATTACACCATCTATAATATTTCATATCGCTTATATATAATTGACCTATTTGTAACAGTCTCCAAGAAAAATTCTTATCTTGACCTAATTACTCCAAATAAAGAAGCTTAATTAATAGAGCTACTTTTTATTAGGAGGGTTTTTTTATATTAACTTATGGCCCTCCTAACGCGATAAGAAGTATGGTGGGGACAAAATATAATAATGAAGTTATACATATAAGATATTGTTAGTTACCTTATTTTTTTTAACCATGCCTTAAATTAACCATAACTTAAAACTATGCTTATAAAAACGACTAATAATTATACTGGAGTCTATATTTATGTAATTAGCAACTACCGTGTAATTACGAAGGTTAAGTATAACTAATTTTAGTTATGATGTGTTTTCATAATCAGCTTAACCTGCCAATGCATTAGTTAATCTAGGCCATGCTTAAAACTTTATCAACGATAAAACGAAGCATAACAAAATCATTTTCTATGCAAAATCTAATCAAACTATAATTGGCTTTTTTATTCGCTCATGAATAAAAGACGAATAATTTGTGGGGATATGTTCAGATACAATAGGTAATTTGTTGGGTTATCTAGTTCTGCGAACATATATAAATAAAAGGATTGGTTACAATGGTTATCACACCATTCGTTATTTTAAATTTATGGTTTTCAGCGATCATTCTGCCTCTTAATTACCTCACGGTATTCACAGAGATATTTCGTTTGTTCAAATTTAAATACGGCTACCCACTACTTTTTATAGTTTCATATACTCAAGAGGACTATTAACTTCTTCTCTTTATAACGTTTCGTTCGTTCCAATTAAGAATGTGGAAAAGTCTGTTCTTTTACTTATATTATTCTTTTATTTTTTTATACATTGTTATTGATCAAGATAAAATGCTTTAATTTTTATGCAGAAACTGTTTATTTGATTATTTTTCTTGCACGACCGTCAGATTTACGAGCGGTTACTTTAATCCGTGATTTAGTTTTGGTCCGTCCAGCGAGCGCACTCATCGGGACTTCCTGGCAACAACTGTTCGGAATCGGTGCCAAATCTACTCTTTTCTCCAGCCGCGGTGGTTGGGTTCCACTTTTATATCTCGGTCCGTCGAGGTTATTCTGGCATACATAATGTCCACACGTACAAGAGACCAAAACCAACGGTTGTCCGCCACGATGTATCGATTTTCAATTAAATATCAATGACGAGCAGATGGTCGATTTGCTGGAGTTCGCTCACAGTTCTTTTTCGCATACTCCGCACGATCCTCTGAACTGGTCAAAAGATGTTGCTTTGCGAGTACATTTTATACGTGATGTGATTTGGTAATAGTTTTGAAGGGAGGCTGTCAAGAAAATGTGTGGTAGGTCGATAAATTTAATCACCGAAAGTGTACTAAATGTTTTAGTGGGTTCGAGATGTAACAAAAACACGTTAAAGTTGGAAATCATTGACGCATATTAGGTGATTTCGATGTCGAATTGTAACACGTAACAATAACAAAGAAGAGTATAAAATTTAAATCTAGAAAGAATTGCGAGGTAGATATTTTATATTGTACTGACGGCGACAAAAACCGCGGGTTTTTACACATTTCGCAAGGTATTTATCGACAAAAGAAGCCTTGAAAAAGATAGGATTTTAACCCGATACTGTTACGCGAAGCCAGAGTTGTACTGATTTGCGAATTCTATGTACATAAAAATTTTAATAAGTTACTATTAAATTTGTTTTTAGCAAATATTTTAGAAGGAATAAACTTGAAAACGATGCAAATAAAAAACAGTATAGAAAAATGGAATTTAAAAAATATCAACAAATAGATTGTTGATAAATCACTCAAATTTACTATCTGAATTTATCGTTTTAAATCATATTGATGCGTATGAAAAATGACATCAGATAAATCACCTCCACACCGCATGGTAAGTGCTCGGTGAGATATCGACGTGTTGGGTGATTTTGTAAAATTTTTTATCGCGGTAAACTTTGCGTGATGAACAATATTCAAATGTCCATTATGTTATCACCTACACTAAGATCAATGTGCATATGATACCCATACTAAGCGCGAAAATTTGAAAGACTTACCGATCTCGTAAAAACTAATGATGTTAGATAAGAGTGGCATAGTAGCTTACACGACTGTCCCATTGCAACTTTCTGGGTTTCACTATTCACACATTTTTCAAATTCAGATTACATCATCGACCCAAAAATGTTTAAAAAGGCATTTCTCACCCGCGTAGTATTAAATTAGTTATTTTAAAAGCAAGGTTATAATTTTATATTAAAGTTCTCTATAGCTTTGATAAGAGTTGAGATTCAAGAAGTTATTTCGTTTTCGATTTAGTTCCAATTTATTCTTTTTAGCAATTTATTACAATGTTCTTTAAGAGTGTAATTTCCGACTGTAATAAATAAAGAAAACGATATGCAATATGCGTTTAATTATTATGATGGTAAAAAAGTTAAAAATTAGATTTTACATGTAAGTTTCTATTTTTGAAAATGATTGATGATATTGAGAAACAAAAATAAAAGTCTGAAGCGTAAAATTAATTCTGTGAAGAAAAATCGAACCAGCACCATGTACTTTTTTCAAGAG